CGTCCTAGAGACTCGGGAGTTGGTTCATTGCACTCAGAAAAATCCTAGCTCCAAGCCCAACCCTAACCCTAGCTCCAACACTAACCCTAACTCCAACCCTAACCCTAACCCTAACCCTAGCTCCAACCCTAACCCTAACCATAACCCTAACCCATGCATTCCTATGGGAAAAAAATCAAATTTTTTTAGGAATGTCCTAGAGACTCGGGAGTTGGTTCAGTGCACTCAGAAAAATCCTAGCTCCAAGCCCAACCCTAACCCTAGCTCCAACACTAACCCTAACTCCAACCCTAACCCTAACCCTAACCCTAGCTCCAACCCTAACCCTAACCATAACCCTAACCCATGCATTCCTATGGGAAAAAATCAAATTTTTTTAGGAATGTCCTAGAGACTCGGGAGTTGGTTCAGTGCACTCAGAAAAATCCTAGCTCCAAGCCCAACCCTAACCCTAGCTCCAACACTAACCCTAACTCCAACCCTAACCCTAACCCTAACCCTAGCTCCAACCCTAACCCTAACCCTAACCCATGCATTCCTATGGGAAAAAATCAAATTTTTTTAGGAATGTCCTAGAGACTCGGGAGTTGGTTCAGTGCACTCAGAAAAATCCTAGCTCCAAGCCCAACCCTAACCCTAGCTCCAACACTAACCCTAACTCCAACCCTAACCCTAACCCTAACCCTAGCTCCAACCCTAACCCTAACCATAACCCTAACCCATGCATTCCTATGGGAAAAAATCAAATTTTTTAGGAATGTCCTAGAGACTCGGGAGTTGGTTCAGTGCACTCAGAAAAATCCTAGCTCCAAGCCCAACCCTAACCCTAGCTCCAACACTAACCCTAACTCCAACCCTAACCCTAACCCTAACCCTAGCTCCAACCCTAACCCTAACCATAACCCTAACCCATGCATTCCTATGGGAAAAAATCAAATTTTTTTAGGAATGTCCTAGAGACTCGGGAGCTGGTTCAGTGCACTCAGAAAAATCCTAGCTCCAAGCCCAACCCTAACCCTAGCTCCAACACTAACCCTAACTCCAACCCTAACCCTAACCCTAACCCTAGCTCCAACCCTAACCCTAACCCTAACCCATGCATTCCTATGGGAAAAAATCAAATTTTTTTAGGAATGTCCTAGAGACTCGGGAGTTGGTTCAGTGCACTCAGAAAAATCCTAGCTCCAAGCCCAACCCTAACCCTAGCTCCAACACTAACCCTAACTCCAACCCTAACCCTAACCCTAACCCTAGCTCCAACCCTAACCCATGCATTCCTATGGGAAAAAATCAAATTTTTTTAGGGAACGTCCTAGAGACTCGGGAGTTGGTTCATTGCACTCAGAAAAGTCCTAGCTCCAAGCCCAACCCTAACCCTAGCTCCAACACTAACCCTAACTCCAACCCTAACCCTAGCTCCAACCCTAACCCTAACCATAACCCTAAACCATGCATTCCTATGGGAAAAAATCAAATTTTTTTAGGAATGTCCTAGAGACTCGGGAGTTGGTTCAGTGCACTCAGAAAAATCCTAGCTCCAAGCCCAACCCTAACCCTAGCTCCAACACTAACCCTAACTCCAACCCTAACCCTAACCCTAACCCTAGCTCCAACCCTAACCCTAACCCTAACCCATGCATTCCTATGGGAAAAAATCAAATTTTTTTAGGAACGTCCTAGAGACTCGGGAGTTGGTTCATTGCACTCAGAAAAATCCTAGCTCCAAGCCCAACCCTAACCCTAGCTCCAACACTAACCCTAACTCCAACCCTAACCCTAACCCTAACCCTAGCTCCAACCCTAACCCTAACCCTAACCCATGCATTCCTATGGGAAAAAATCAAATTTTTTTAGGAACGTCCTAGAGACTCGGGAGTTGGTTCATTGCACTCAGAAAAATCCTAGCTCCAAGCCCAACCCTAACCCTAGCTCCAACACTAACCCTAACTCCAACCCTAACCCTAACCCTAACCCTAGCTCCAACCCTAACCCTAACCCTAACCCATGCATTCCTATGGGAAAAAATCAAATTTTTTTAGGAACATCCTAGAGACTCGGGAGTTGGTTCATTGCACTCAGAAAAATCCTAGCTCCAAGCCCAACCCTAACCCTAGCTCCAACACTAACCCTAACTCCAACCCTAACCCTAACCCTAACCCTAGCTCCAACCCTAACCCTAACCATAACCCGAACCCATGCATTCCTATGGGAAAAAAATCAATTTTTTTTAGGAACGTCCTAGAGACTCGGGAGTTGGTTCAGTGCACTCAGAAAAATCCTAGCTCCAAGCCCAACCCTAACCCTAGCTCCAACACTAACCCTAACTCCAACCCTAACCCTAACCCTAACCCTAGCTCCAACCCTAACCCTAACCCTAACCCATGCATTCCTATGGGAAAAAATCAATTTTTTTTAGGAATGTCCTAGAGACTCGGGAGTTGGTTCAGTGCACTCAGAAAAATCCTAGCTCCAAGCCCAACCCTAACCCTAGCTCCAACACTAACCCTAACTCCAACCCTAACCCTAACCCTAACCCTAGCTCCAACCCTAACCCTAACCCTAACCCATGCATTCCTATGGGAAAAAATCAAATTTTTTTAGGAACGTCCTAGAGACTCGGGAGTTGGTTCAGTGCACTCAGAAAAATCCTAGCTCCAAGCCCAACCCTAACCCTAGCTCCAACACTAACCCTAACTCCAACCCTAACCCTAACCCTAACCCTAGCTCCAACCCTAACCCTAACCCTAACCCATGCATTCCTATGGGAAAAAATCAAATTTTTTTAGGAATGTCCTAGAGACTCGGGAGTTGGTTCAGTGCACTCAGAAAAATCCTAGCTCCAAGCCCAACCCTAACCCTAGCTCCAACACTAACCCTAACTCCAACCCTAACCCTAACCCTAACCCTAGCTCCAACCCTAACCCTAACCCTAACCCATGCATTCCTATGGGAAAAAATCAATTTTTTTAGGAATGTCCTAGAGACTCGGGAGTTGGTTCAGTGCACTCAGAAAAATCCTAGCTCCAAGCCCAACCCTAACCCTAGCTCCAACACTAACCCTAACTCCAACCCTAACCCTAACCCTAACCCTAGCTCCAACCCTAACCCATGCATTCCTATGGGAAAAAATCAAATTTTTTTAGGAACGTCCTAGAGACTCGGGAGTTGGTTCATTGCACTCAGAAAAATCCTAGCTCCAAGCCCAACCCTAACCCTAGCTCCAACACTAACCCTAACTCCAACCCTAACCCTAACCCTAACCCTAGCTCCAACCCTAACCCTAACCATAACCCTAACCCATGCATTCCTATGGGAAAAAAATCAAATTTTTTTAGGAATGTCCTAGAGACTCGGGAGTTGGTTCAGTGCACTCAGAAAAATCCTAGCTCCAAGCCCAACCCTAACCCTAGCTCCAACACTAACCCTAACTCCAACCCTAACCCTAACCCTAACCCTAGCTCCAACCCTAACCCTAACCATAACCCTAACCCATGCATTCCTATGGGAAAAAAATCAAATTTTTTTAGGAATGTCCTAGAGACTCGGGAGTTGGTTCAGTGCACTCAGAAAAATCCTAGCTCCAAGCCCAACCCTAACCCTAGCTCCAACACTAACCCTAACTCCAACCCTAACCCTAACCCTAACCCTAGCTCCAACCCTAACCCTAACCCTAACCCATGCATTCCTATGGGAAAAAATCAAATTTTTTTAGGAATGTCCTAGAGACTCGGGAGTTGGTTCAGTGCACTCAGAAAAATCCTAGCTCCAAGCCCAACCCTAACCCTAGCTCCAACACTAACCCTAACTCCAACCCTAACCCTAACCCTAACCCTAGCTCCAACCCTAACCCTAACCATAACCCTAACCCATGCATTCCTATGGGAAAAAATCAAATTTTTTTAGGAATGTCCTAGAGACTCGGGAGTTGGTTCAGTGCACTCAGAAAAATCCTAGCTCCAAGCCCAACCCTAACCCTAGCTCCAACACTAACCCTAACTCCAACCCTAACCCTAACCCTAACCCTAGCTCCAACCCTAACCCTAACCATAACCCTAACCCATGCATTCCTATGGGAAAAAATCAAATTTTTTTAGGAATGTCCTAGAGACTCGGGAGTTGGTTCAGTGCACTCAGAAAAATCCTAGCTCCAAGCCCAACCCTAACCCTAGCTCCAACACTAACCCTAACTCCAACCCTAACCCTAACCCTAACCCTAGCTCCAACCCTAACCCTAACCATAACCCGAACCCATGCATTCCTATGGGAAAAAATCAAATTTTTTTAGGAATGTCCTAGAGACTCGGGAGTTGGTTCAGTGCACTCAGAAAAATCCTAGCTCCAAGCCCAACCCTAACCCTAGCTCCAACCCTAACCCTAACCCTAACCCATGCATTCCTATGGGAAAAAATCAATTTTTTTAGGGAACGTCCTAGAGACTCGGGAGTTGGTTCATTGCACTCAGAAAAGTCCTAGATCCAAGCCCAACCCTAACCCTAGCTCCAACACTAACCCTAACTCCAACCCTAACCCTAACCCTAAACCTAGCTCCAACCCTAACCCTAACCATAACCCTAACCCATGCATTCCTATGGGAAAAAATCAAATTTTTTTAGGAATGTCCTAGAGACTCGGGAGTTGGTTCAGTGCACTCAGAAAAATCCTAGCTCCAAGCCCAACCCTAACCCTAGCTCCAACACTAACCCTAACTCCAACCCTAACCCTAACCCTAACCCTAGCTCCAACCCTAACCCTAACCCTAACCCATGCATTCCTATGGGAAAAAATCAAATTTTTTTAGGAATGTCCTAGAGACTCGGGAGTTGGTTCAGTGCACTCAGAAAAATCCTAGCTCCAAGCCCAACCCTAACCCTAGCTCCAACACTAACCCTAACTCCAACCCTAACCCTAACCCTAACCCTAGCTCCAACCCTAACCCTAACCATAACCCTAACCCATGCATTCCTATGGGAAAAAATCAAATTGTTTTAGGAATGTCCTAGAGACTCGGGAGTTGGTTCAGTGCACTCAGAAAAATCCTAGCTCCAAGCCCAACCCTAACCCTAGCTCCAACACTAACCCTAACTCCAACCCTAACCCTAACCCTAACCCTAGCTCCAACCCTAACCCTAACCATAACCCTAACCCATGCATTCCTAAGGGAAAAAATCAAATTTTTTTAGGAATGTCCTAGAGACTCGGGAGTTGGTTCAGTGCACTCAGAAAAATCCTAGCTCCAAGCCCAACCCTAACCCTAGCTCCAACACTAACCCTAACTCCAACCCTAACCCTAACCCTAACCCTAGCTCCAACCCTAACCCTAACCATAACCCTAACCCATGCATTCCTATGGGAAAAAATCAAATTTTTTTAGGAATGTCCTAGAGACTCGGGAGTTGGTTCAGTGCACTCAGAAAAATCCTAGCTCCAAGCCCAACCCTAACCCTAGCTCCAACACTAACCCTAACTCCAACCCTAACCCTAACCCTAACCCTAGCTCCAACCCTAACCCTAACCCTAACCCATGCATTCCTATGGGAAAAAATCAATTTTTTTTGGGAACGTCCTAGAGACTCGGGAGTTGGTTCATTGCACTCAGAAAAGTCCTAGATCCAAGCCCAACCCTAACCCTAGCTCCAACACTAACCCTAACTCCAACCCTAACCCTAACCCTAAACCTAGCTCCAACCCTAACCCTAACCATAACCCTAACCCATGCATTCCTATGGGAAAAAATCAAATTTTTTTAGGAATGTCCTAGAGACTCGGGAGTTGGTTCAGTGCACTCAGAAAAATCCTAGCTCCAAGCCCAACCCTAACCCTAGCTCCAACACTAACCCTAACTCCAACCCTAACCCTAACCCTAACCCTAGCTCCAACCCTAACCCTAACCCTAACCCATGCATTCCTATGGGAAAAAATCAAATTTTTTTAGGAACATCCTAGAGACTCGGGAGTTGGTTCATTGCACTCAGAAAAATCCTAGCTCCAAGCCCAACCCTAACCCTAGCTCCAACACTAACCCTAACTCCAACCCTAACCCTAACCCTAACCCTAGCTCCAACCCTAACCCTAACCCTAACCCATGCATTCCTATGGGAAAAAATCAAATTTTTTTAGGAACGTCCAAGAGACTCGGGAGTTGGTTCATTGCACTCAGAAAAATCCTAGCTCCAAGCCCAACCCTAACCCTAGCTCCAACACTAACCCTAACTCCAACCCTAACCCTAACCCTAACCCTAGCTCCAACCCTAACCCTAACCATAACTCGAACCCATGCATTCCTATGGGAAAAAAATCAATTTTTTTTAGGAACGTCCTAGAGACTCGGGAGTTGGTTCAGTGCACTCAGAAAAATCCTAGCTCCAAGCCCAACCCTAACCCTAGCTCCAACACTAACCCTAACTCCAACCCTAACCCTAACCCTAACCCTAGCTCCAACCCTAACCCTAACCCTAACCCATGCATTCCTATGGGAAAAAATCAAATTTTTTTAGGAATGTCCTAGAGACTCGGGAGTTGGTTCAGTGCACTCAGAAAAATCCTAGCTCCAAGCCCAACCCTAACCCTAGCTCCAACACTAACCCTAACTCCAACCCTAACCCTAACCCTAACCCTAACCCTAGCTCCAACCCTAACCCTAACCCGAACCCATGCATTCCTATGGGAAAAAATCAAATTTTTTTAGGAACGTCCTAGAGACTCGGGAGTTGGTTCATTGCACTCAGAAAAATCCTAGCTCCAAGCCCAACCCTAACCCTAGCTCCAACACTAACCCTAACTCCAACCCCAACCCTAACCCTAACCCTAACCCTAACCCTAACCCTAGCTCCAACCCTAACCCTAACCCTAACCCATGCATTCCTAAGGGAAAAAATCAAATTTTTTTAGGAACGTCCTAGAGACTCGGGAGTTGGTTCATTGCACTCAGAAAAGTCCTAGCTCCAAGCCCAACCCTAACCCTAGCTCCAACACTAACCCTAACTCCAACCCTAACCCTAGCTCCAACCCTAACCCTAACCATAACCCTAAACCATGCATTCCTATGGGAAAAAATCAAATTTTTTTAGGAATGTCCTAGAGACTCGGGAGTTGGTTCAGTGCACTCAGAAAAATCCTAGCTCCAAGCCCAACCCTAACCCTAGCTCCAACACTAACCCTAACTCCAACCCTAACCCTAACCCTAACCCTAGCTCCAACCCTAACCCTAACCCTAACCCATGCATTCCTATGGGAAAAAATCAAATTTTTTTAGGAACGTCCTAGAGACTCGGGAGTTGGTTCATTGCACTCAGAAAAATCCTAGCTCCAAGCCCAACCCTAACCCTAGCTCCAACACTAACCCTAACTCCAACCCTAACCCTAACCCTAACCCTAGCTCCAACCCTAACCCTAACCCTAACCCATGCATTCCTATGGGAAAAGATCAAATTTTTTTAGGAACGTCCAAGAGACTCGGGAGTTGGTTCATTGCACTCAGAAAAATCCTAGCTCCAAGCCCAACCCTAACCCTAGCTCCAACACTAACCCTAACTCCAACCCTAACCCTAACCCTAACCCTAGCTCCAACCCTAACCCTAACCATAACCCTAACCCATGCATTCCTATGGGAAAAAAATCAATTTTTTTTAGGAATGTCCTAGAGACTCGGGAGTTGGTTCAGTGCACTCAGAAAAATCCTAGCTCCAAGCCCAACCCTAACCCTAGCTCCAACACTAACCCTAACTCCAACCCTAACCCTAACCCTAGCTCCAACCCTAACCCTAACCCTAACCCATGCATTCCTATGGGAAAAAATCAAATTTTTTTAGGAATGTCCTAGAGACTCGGGAGTTGGTTCAGTGCACTCAGAAAAATCCTAGCTCCAAGCCCAACCCTAACCCTAGCTCCAACACTAACCCTAACTCCAACCCTAACCCTAACCCTAACCCTAGCTCCAACCCTAACCCTAACCCTAACCCATGCATTCCTATGGGAAAAAATCAAATTTTTTTAGGGAACATCCTAGAGACTCGGGAGTTGGTTCATTGCACTCAGAAAAGTCCTAGCTCCAAGCCCAACCCTAACCCTAGCTCCAACACTAACCCTAACTCCAACCCTAACCCTAACCCTAACCCTAGCTCCAACCCTAACCCTAACCATAACCCTAAACCATGCATTCCTATGGGAAAAAATCAAATTTTTTAGGAATGTCCTAGAGACTCGGGAGTTGGTTCAGTGCACTCAGAAAAATCCTAGCTCCAAGCCCAACCCTAACCCTAGCTGCAACACTAACCCTAACTCCAACCCTAACCCTAACCCTAACCCTAGCTCCAACCCTAACCCTAACCCTAAACCATGCATTCCTATGGGAAAAAATCAAATTTTTTTAGGAACGTCCTAGAGACTCGGGAGTTGGTTCATTGCACTCAGAAAAATCCTAGCTCCAAGCCCAACCCTAACCCTAGCTCCAACACTAACCCTAACTCCAACCCTAACCCTAACCCTAACCCTAGCTCCAACCCTAACCCTAACCCTAACCCATGCATTCCTATGGGAAAAAATCAAATTTTTTTAGGAATGTCCTAGAGACTCGGGAGTTGGTTCAGTGCACTCAGAAAAATCCTAGCTCCAAGCCCAACCCTAACCCTAGCTCCAACACTAACCCTAACTCCAACCCTAACCCTAACCCTAACCCTAGCTCCAACCCTAACCCTAACCATAACCCTAACCCATGCATTCCTATGGGAAAAAATCAAATTTTTTTAGGAATGTCCTAGAGACTCGGGAGTTGGTTCAGTGCACTCAGAAAAATCCTAGCTCCAAGCCCAACCCTAACCCTAGCTCCAACACTAACCCTAACTCCAACCCTAACCCTAACCCTAACCCTAGCTCCAACCCTAACCATAACCCTAACCCATGCATTCCTATGGGAAAAAATCAAATTTTTTTAGGAATGTCCTAGAGACTCGGGAGTTGGTTCAGTGCACTCAGAAAAATCCTAGCTCCAAGCCCAACCCTAACCCTAGCTCCAACACTAACCCTAACTCCAACCCTAACCCTAACCCTAACCCTAGCTCCAACCCTAACCCTAACCATAACCCTAACCCATGCATTCCTATGGGAAAAAAACAATTTTTTTAGGAATGTCCTAGAGACTCGGGAGTTGGTTCAGTGCACTCAGAAAAATCCTAGCTCCAAGCCCAACCCTAACCCTAGCTCCAACACTAACCCTAACTCCAACCCTAACCCTAACCCTAACCCTAGCTCCAACCCTAACCCTAACCATAACCCTAACCCATGCATTCCTATGGGAAAAAATCAAATTTTTTTAGGAATGTCCTAGAGACTCGGGAGTTGGTTCAGTGCACTCAGAAAAATCCTAGCTCCAAGCCCAACCCTAACCCTAGCTCCAACACTAACCCTAACTCCAACCCTAACCCTAACCCTAACCCTAGCTCCAACCCTAACCCTAACCCTAACCCATGCATTCCTATGGGAAAAAAAAATTTTTTTAGGAACGTCCTAGAGACTCGGGAGTTGGTTCATTGCACTCAGAAAAATCCTAGCTCCAAGCCCAACCCTAACCCTAGCTCCAACACTAACCCTAACTCCAACCCTAACCCTAACCCTAACCCTAGCTCCAACCCTAACCCTAACCATAACCCTAACCCATGCATTCCTATGGGAAAAAATCAAATTTTTTTAGGAATGTCCTAGAGACTCGGGAGTTGGTTCAGTGCACTCAGAAAAATCCTAGCTCCAAGCCCAACCCTAACCCTAGCTCCAACACTAACCCTAACTCCAACCCTAACCCTAACCCTAACCCTAGCTCCAACCCTAACCCTAACCATAACCCATGCATTCCTATGGGAAAAAATCAAATTTTTTTAGGAACATCCAAGAGACTCGGGAGTTGGTTCATTGCACTCAGAAAAATCCTAGCTCCAAGCCCAACCCTAACCCTAGCTCCAACACTAACCCTAACTCCAACCCTAACCCTAACCCTAACCCTAGCTCCAACCCTAACCCTAACCATAACCCTAACCCATGCATTCCTATGGGAAAAAAATCAATTTTTTTTAGGAATGTCCTAGAGACTCGGGAGTTGGTTCAGTGCACTCAGAAAAATCCTAGCTCCAAGCCCAACCCTAACCCTAGCTCCAACACTAACCCTAACTCCAACCCTAACCCTAACCCTAACCCTAGCTCCAACCCTAACCCTAACCCTAACCCATGCATTCCTATGGGAAAAAATCAAATTTTTTTAGGAACGTCCAAGAGACTCGGGAGTTGGTTCATTGCACTCAGAAAAATCCTAGCTCCAAGCCCAACCCTAACCCTAGCTCCAACCCTAACCCTAACCATAACCCTAACCCATGCATTCCTATGGGAAAAAATCAAATTTTCTTAGGAATGTCCTAGAGACTCGGGAGTTGGTTCAGTGCACTCAGAAAAATCCTAGCTCCAAGCCCAACCCTAACCCTAGCTCCAACACTAACCCTAACTCCAACCCTAACCCTAACCCTAACCCTAGCTCCAACCCTAACCCTAACCATAACCCTAACCCATGCATTCCTATGGGAAAAAAATCAAATTTTTTTAGGAATGTCCTAGAGACTCGGGAGTTGGTTCAGTGCACTCAGAAAAATCCTAGCTCCAAGCCCAACCCTAACCCTAGCTCCAACACTAACCCTAACTCCAACCCTAACCCTAACCCTAACCCTAGCTCCAACCCTAACCCTAACCCTAACCCATGCATTCCTATGGGAAAAAATCAAATTTTTTTAGGAATGTCCTAGAGACTCGGGAGTTGGTTCAGTGCACTCAGAAAAATCCTAGCTCCAAGCCCAACCCTAACCCTAGCTCCAACACTAACCCTAACTCCAACCCTAACCCTAACCCTAACCCTAGCTCCAACCCTAACCATAACCCTAACCCATGCATTCCTATGGGAAAAAATCAAATTTTTTTAGGAATGTCCTAGAGACTCGGGAGTTGGTTCAGTGCACTCAGAAAAATCCTAGCTCCAAGCCCAACCCTAACCCTAGCTCCAACACTAACCCTAACTCCAACCCTAACCCTAACCCTAACCCTAGCTCCAACCCTAACCCTAACCCTAACCTATGCATTCCTATGGGAAAAAATCAAATTTTTTTAGAATGTCCTAGAGACTCGGGAGTTGGTTCATTGCACTCAGAAAAATCCTAGCTCCAAGCCCAACCCTAACCCTAGCTCCAACACTAACCCTAACTCCAACCCTAACCCTAACCCTAACCCTAGCTCCAACCCTAACCCTAACCCTAACCCATGCATTCCTATGGGAAAAAATCAAATTTTTTTAGGAACATCCAAGAGACTCGGGAGTTGGTTCATTGCACTCAGAAAAATCCTAGCTCCAAGCCCAACCCTAACCCTAGCTCCAACACTAACCCTAACTCCAACCCTAACCCTAACCCTAACCCTAGCTCCAACCCTAACCCTAACCATAACCCTAACCCATGCATTCCTATGGGAAAAAAATCAATTTTTTTAGGAATGTCCTAGAGACTCGGGAGTTGGTTCAGTGCACTCAGAAAAATCCTAGCTCCAAGCCCAACCCTAACCCTAGCTCCAACACTAACCCTAACTCCAACCCTAACCCTAACCCTAACCCTAGCTCCAACCCTAACCCTAACCCTAACCCATGCATTCCTATGGGAAAAAATCAAATTTTTTTAGGAATGTCCTAGAGACTCGGGAGTTGGTTCAGTGCACTCAGAAAAATCCTAGCTCCAAGCCCAACCCTAACCCTAGCTCCAACACTAACCCTAACTCCAACCCTAACCCTAACCCTAACCCTAGCTCCAACCCTAACCATAACCCTAACCCATGCATTCCTATGGGAAAAAATCAAATTTTTTTAGGAATGTCCTAGAGACTCGGGAGTTGGTTCAGTGCACTCAGAAAAATCCTAGCTCCAAGCCCAACCCTAACCCTAGCTCCAACACTAACCCTAACTCCAACCCTAACCCTAACCCTAACCCTAGCTCCAACCCTAACCCTAACCCTAACCTATGCATTCCTATGGGAAAAAATCAAATTTTTTTAAGAATGTCCTAGAGACTCGGGAGTTGGTTCATTGCACTCAGAAAAATCCTAGCTCCAAGCCCAACCCTAACCCTAGCTCCAACACTAACCCTAACTCCAACCCTAACCCTAACCCTAACCCTAGCTCCAACCCTAACCCTAACCCTAACCCATGCATTCCTATGGGAAAAAATCAAATTTTTTTAGGAACATCCAAGAGACTCGGGAGTTGGTTCATTGCACTCAGAAAAATCCTAGCTCCAAGCCCAACCCTAACCCTAGCTCCAACACTAACCCTAACTCCAACCCTAACCCTAACCCTAACCCTAGCTCCAACCCTAACCCTAACCATAACCCTAACCCATGCATTCCTATGGGAAAAAAATCAATTTTTTTTAGGAATGTCCTAGAGACTCGGGAGTTGGTTCAGTGCACTCAGAAAAATCCTAGCTCCAAGCCCAACCCTAACCCTAGCTCCAACACTAACCCTAACTCCAACCCTAACCCTAACCCTAACCCTAGCTCCAACCCTAACCCTAACCCTAACCCATGCATTCCTATGGGAAAAAATCAAATTTTTTTAGGAATGTCCTAGAGACTCGGGAGTTGGTTCAGTGCACTCAGAAAAATCCTAGCTCCAAGCCCAACCCTAACCCTAGCTCCAACACTAACCCTAACTCCAACCCTAACCCTAACCCTAACCCTAGCTCCAACCCTAACCCTAACCCTAACCCATGCATTCCTATGGGAAAAAATCAAATTTTTTTAGGAACGTCCTAGAGACTCGGGAGTTGGTTCATTGCACTCAGAAAAATCCTAGCTCCAAGCCCAACCCTAACCCTAGCTCCAACACTAACCCTAACTCCAACCCTAACCCTAACCCTAACCCTAGCTCCAACCCTAACCCTAACCCTAACCCTAACCCATGCATTCCTATGGGAAAAAATCAAATTTTTTTAGGAACGTCCAAGAGACTCGGGAGTTGGTTCATTGCACTCAGAAAAATCCTAGCTCCAAGCCCAACCCTAACCCTAGCTCCAACACTAACCCTAACTCCAACCCTAACCCTAACCCTAACCCTAGCTCCAACCCTAACCCTAACCATAACCCTAACCCATGCATTCCTATGGGAAAAAATCAAATTTTTTTAGGAATGTCCTAGAGACTCGGGAGTTGGTTCAGTGCACTCAGAAAAATCCTAGCTCCAAGCCCAACCCTAACCCTAGCTCCAACACTAACCCTAACTCCAACCCTAACCCTAACCCTAACCCTAGCTCCAACCCTAACCCTAACCCTAACCCTAACCCATGCATTCCTATGGGAAAAAATCAAATTTTTTTAGGAATGTCCTAGAGACTCGGGAGTTGGTTCAGTGCACTCAGAAAAATCCTAGCTCCAAGCCCAACCCTAACCCTAGCTCCAACACTAACCCTAACTCCAACCCTAACCCTAACCCTAACCCTAACCCTAGCTCCAACCCTAACCCTAACCCTAACCCATGCATTCCTATGGGAAAAAATCAAATTTTTTTAGGAACATCCTAGAGACTCGGGAGTTGGTTCATTGCACTCAGAAAAATCCTAGCTCCAAGCCCAACCCTAACCCTAGCTCCAACACTAACCCTAACTCCAACCCTAACCCTAACCCTAACCCTAGCTCCAACCCTAACCCTAACCCATAACCCATGCATTCCTATGGGAAAAAATCAAATTTTTTTAGGAACATCCAAGAGACTCGGGAGTTGGTTCATTGCACTCAGAAAAATCCTAGCTCCAAGCCCAACCCTAACCCTAGCTCCAACACTAACCCTAACTCCAACCCTAACCTTAACCCTAACCCTAGCTCCAACCCTAACCCTAACCCTAACCCTAACCCATGCATTCCTATGGGAAAAAAATCAATTTTTTTTAGGAATGTCCTAGAGACTCGGGAGTTGGTTCAGTGCACTCAGAAAAATCCTAGCTCCAAGCCCAACCCTAACCCTAGCTCCAACACTAACCCTAACCCTAACCCTAACCCTAACCCTAGCTCCAACCCTAACCCTAACCCTAACCCATGCATTCCTATGGGAAAAAATCAAATTTTTTTAGGAACGTCCAAGAGACTCGGGAGTTGGTTCATTGCACTCAGAAAAATCCTAGCTCCAAGCCCAACCCTAACCCTAGCTCCAACACTAACCCTAACTCCAACCCTAACCCTAACCCTAACCCTAGCTCCAACCCTAACCCTAACCATAACCCTAACCCATGCATTCCTATGGGAAAAAAATCAAATTTTTTTTTGGAATGTCCTAGAGACTCGGGAGTTGGTTCAGTGCACTCAGAAAAATCCTAGCTCCAAGCCCAACCCTAACCCTAGCTCCAACACTAACCCTAACTCCAACCCTAACCCTAACCCTAACCCTAGCTCCAACCCTAACCCTAACCCTAACCCATGCATTCCTATGGGAAAAAATCAAATTTTTTTAGGAATGTCCTAGAGACTCGGGAGTTGGTTCAGTGCACTCAGAAAAATCCTAGCTCCAAGCCCAACCCTAACCCTAGCTCCAACACTAACCCTAACTCCAACCCTAACCCTAACCCTAACCCTAGCTCCAACCCTAACCCTAACCATAACCCTAACCCATGCATTCCTATGGGGAAAAAATCAAATTTTTTTAGGAATGTCCTAGAGACTCGGGAGTTGGTTCAGTGCACTCAGAAAAATCCTAGCTCCAAGCCCAACCCTAACCCTAGCTCCAACACTAACCCTAACTCCAACCCTAACCCTAACCCTAACCCTAGCTCCAACCCTAACCCTAACCCTAACCCATGCATTCCTATGGGAAAAAATCAAATTTTTTTAGGAACATCCTAGAGACTCGGGAGTTGGTTCATTGCACTCAGAAAAATCCTAGCTCCAAGCCCAACCCTAACCCTAGCTCCAACACTAACCCTAACTCCAACCCTAACCCTAACCCTAACCCTAGCTCCAACCCTAACCCTAACCCTAACCCATGCATTCCTATGGGAAAAAATCAATTTTTTTTAGGAACGTCCAAGAGACTTGGGAGTTGGTTCATTGCACTCAGAAAAATCCTAGCTCCAAGCCCAACCCTAACCCTAGCTCCAACACTAACCCTAACTCCAACCCTAACCCTAACCCTAACCCTAGCTCCAACCCTAACCCTAACCATAACCCGAACCCATGCATTCCTATGGGAAAAAAATCAATTTTTTTTAGGAACGTCCTAGAGACTCGGGAGTTGGTTCAGTGCACTCAGAAAAATCCTAGCTCCAAGCCCAACCCTAACCCTAGCTCCAACACTAACCCTAACTCCAACCCTAACCCTAACCCTAACCCTAGCTCCAACCCTAACCCTAACCCTAACCTATGCATTCCTATGGGAAAAAATCAAATTTTTTTAGGAATGTCCTAGAGACTCGGGAGTTGGTTCAGTGCACTCAGAAAAATCCTAGCTCCAAGCCCAACCCTAACCCTAGCTCCAACACTAACCCTAACTCCAACCCTAACCCTAACCCTAACCCTAGCTCCAACCCTAACCCTAACCCTAACCCTAACCCATGCATTCCTATGGGAAAAAATCAATTTTTTTTAGGAATGTCCTAGAGACTCGGGAGTTGGTTCAGTGCACTCAGAAAAATCCTAGCTCCAAGCCCAACCCTAACCCTAGCTCCAACACTAACCCTAACTCCAACCCTAACCCTAACCCTAACCCTAGCTCCAACCCTAACCCTAACCATAACCCTAACCCATGCATTCCTATGGGAAAAAATCAAATTTTTTTAGGAATGTCCTAGAGACTCGGGAGTTGGTTCAGTGCACTCAGAAAAATCCTAGCTCCAAGCCCAACCCTAACCCTAGCTCCAACACTAACCCTAACTCCAACCCTAACCCTAACCCTAACCCTAGCTCCAACCCTAACCCTAACCATAACCCTAACCCATGCATTCCTATGGGAAAAAATCAAATTTTTTTAGGAATGTCCTAGAGACTCGGGAGTTGGTTCAGTGCACTCAGAAAAATCCTAGCTCCAAGCCCAACCCTAACCCTAGCTCCAACACTAACCCTAACTCCAACCCTAACCCTAACCCTAACCCTAGCTCCAACCCTAACCCTAACCCTAACCCATGCATTCCTATGGGAAAAAATCACATTTTTTTAGGAACATCCTAGAGACTCGGGAGTTGGTTCATTGCACTCAGAAAAATCCTAGCTCCAAGCCCAACCCTAACCCTAGCTCCAACACTAACCCTAACTCCAACCCTAACCCTAACCCTAACCCTAGCTCCAACCCTAACCCTAACCCTAACCCATGCATTCCTATGGGAAAAAATCAAATTTTTTTAGGAATGTCCTAGAGACTCGGGAGTTGGTTCAGTGCACTCAGAAAAATCCTAGCTCCAAGCCCAACCCTAACCCTAGCTCCAACACTAACCCTAACTCCAACCCTAACCCTAACCCTAACCCTAGCTCCAACCCTAACCCTAACCCTAACCCATGCATTCCTATGGGAAAAAATCAATTTTTTTTAGGAACGTCCAAGAGACTTGGGAGTTGGTTCATTGCACTCAGAAAAATCCTAGCTCCAAGCCCAACCCTAACCCTAGCTCCAACACTAACCCTAACTCCAACCCTAACCCTAACCCTAACCCTAGCTCCAACCCTAACCCTAACCATAACCCGAACCCATGCATTCCTATGGGAAAAAATCAATTTTTTTTAGGAACGTCCTAGAGACTCGGAAGTTGGTTCAGTGCACTCAGAAAAATCCTAGCTCCAAGCCCAACCCTAACCCTAGCTCCAACACTAACCCTAACTCCAACCCTAACCCTAACCCTAACCCTAGCTCCAACCCTAACCCTAACCTATGCATTCCTATGGGAAAAAATCAAATTTTTTTAGGAATGTCCTAGAGACTCGGGAGTTGGTTCAGTGCACTCAGAAAAATCCTAGCTCCAAGCCCAACCCTAACCCTAGCTCCAACACTAACCCTAACTCCAACCCTAACCCTAACCCTAACCCTAGCTCCAACCCTAACCCTAACCCTAACCCTAACCCATGCATTCCTATGGGAAAAAATCAATTTTTTTTAGGAATGTCCTAGAGACTCGGGAGTTGGTTCAGTGCACTCAGAAAAATCCTAGCTCCAAGCCCAACCCTAACCCTAGCTCCAACACTAACCCTAACTCCAACCCTAACCCTAACCCTAACCCTAGCTCCAACCCTAACCCTAACCATAACCCTAACCCATGCATTCCTATGGGAAAAAATCAAATTTTTTTAGGAATGTCCTAGAGACTCGGGAGTTGGTTCAGTGCACTCAGAAAAATCCTAGCTCCAAGCCCAACCCTAACCCTAGCTCCAACACTAACCCTAACTCCAACCCTAACCCTAACCCTAACCCTAGCTCCAACCCTAACCCTAACCCTAACCTATGCATTCCTATGGGAAAAAATCAAATTTTTTTAGGAATGTCCTAGAGACTCGGGAGTTGGTTCAGTGCACTCAGAAAAATCCTAGCTCCAAGCCCAACCCTAACCCTAGCTCCAACACTAACCCTAACTCCAACCCTAACCCTAACCCTAACCCTAGCTCCAACCCTAACCCTAACCCTAACCCTAACCCATGCATTCCTATGGGAAAAAATCAATTTTTTTTAGGAATGTCCTAGAGACTCGGGAGTTGGTTCAGTGCACTCAGAAAAATCCTAGCTCCAAGCCCAACCCTAACCCTAGCTCCAACACTAACCCTAACTCCAACCCTAACCCTAACCCTAACCCTAGCTCCAAGCCCAACCCTAACCCTAGCTCCAACACTAACCCTAACTCCAACCCTAACCCTAACCCTAACCCTAGCTCCAACCCTAACCCTAACCCTAACCCATGCATTCCTATGGGAAAAAATCACATTTTTTTAGGAACATCCTAGAGACTCGGGAGTTGGTTCATTGCACTCAGAAAAATCCTAGCTCCAAGCCCAACCCTAACCCTAGCTCCAACACTAACCCTAACTCCAACCCTAACCCTGACCCTAACCCTAGCTCCAACCCTAACCCTAACCCTAACCCATGCATTCCTATGGGAAAAAATCAAATTTTTTTAGGAATGTCCTAGAGACTCGGGAGTTGGTTCAGTGCACTCAGAAAAATCCTAGCTCCAAGCCCAACCCTAACCCTAGCTCCAACACTAACCCTAACTCCAACCCTAACCCTAACCCTAACCCTAGCTCCAACCCTAACCCTAACCATAACCCTAACCCATGCATTCCTATGGGAAAAAATCAAATTTTTTTAGGAATGTCCTAGAGACTCGGGAGTTGGTTCAGTGCACTCAGAAAAATCCTAGCTCCAAGCCCAACCCTAACCCTAGCTCCAACACTAACCCTAACTCCAACCCTAACCCTAACCCTAACCCTAGCTCCAACCCTAACCCTAACCATAACCCTAACCCATGCATTCCTATGGGAAAAAATCAAATTTTTTTAGGAATGTCCTAGAGACTCGGGAGTTGGTTCAGTGCACTCAGAAAAATCCTAGCTCCAAGCCCAACCCTAACCCTAGCTCCAACACTAACCCTAACTCCAACCCTAACCCTAACCCTAACCCTAGCTCCAACCCTAACCCTAACCCTAACCCATGCATTCCTATGGGAAAAAATCACATTTTTTTAGGAACATCCTAGAGACTCGGGAGTTGGTTCATTGCACTCAGAAAAATCCTAGCTCCAAGCCCAACCCTAACCCTAGCTCCAACACTAACCCTAACCCTAACCCTAGCTCCAACCCTAACCCTAACCCTAACCCATGCATTCCTATGGGAAAAAATCAAATTTTTTTAGGAATGTCCTAGAGACTCGGGAGTTGGTTCAGTGCACTCAGAAAAATCCTAGCTCCAAGCCCAACCCTAACCCTAGCTCCAACACTAACCCTAACTCCAACCCTAACCCTAACCCTAACCCTAGCTCCAACCCTAACCCTAACCCTAACCCATGCATTCCTATGGGAAAAAATCAATTTTTTTTAGGAACGTCCAAGAGACTTGGGAGTTGGTTCATTGCACTCAGAAAAATCCTAGCTCCAAGCCCAACCCTAACCCTAGCTCCAACACTAACCCTAACTCCAACCCTAACCCTAACCCTAACCCTAGCTCCAACCCTAACCCTAACCATAACCCGAACCCATGCATTCCTATGGGAAAAAAATCAATTTTTTTTAGGAACGTCCTAGAGACTCGGGAGTTGGTTCAGTGCACTCAGAAAAATCCTAGCTCCAAGCCCAACCCTAACCCTAGCTCCAACACTAACCCTAACTCCAACCCTAACCCTAACCCTAACCCTAGCTCCAACCCTAACCCTAACCCTAACCTATGCATTCCTATGGGAAAAAATCCAATTTTTTTAGGAATGTCCTAGAGACTCGGGAGTTGGTTCAGTGCACTCAGAAAAATCCTAGCTCCAAGCCCAACCCTAACCCTAGCTCCAACACTAACCCTAACTCCAACCCTAACCCTAACCCTAACCCTAGCTCCAACCCTAACCCTAACCCTAACCCTAACCCATGCATTCCTATGGGAAAAAATCAATTTTTTTTAGGAATGTCCTAGAGACTCGGGAGTTGGTTCAGTGCACTCAGAAAAATCCTAGCTCCAAGCCCAACCCTAACCCTAGCTCCAACACTAACCCTAACTCCAACCCTAACCCTAACCCTAACCCTAGCTCCAACCCTAACCCTAACCCTAACCCATGCATTCCTATGGGAAAAAATCACATTTTTTTAGGAACATCCTAGAGACTCGGGAGTTGGTTCATTGCACTCAGAAAAATCCTAGCTCCAAGCCCAACCCTAACCCTAGCTCCAACACTAACCCTAACTCCAACCCTAACCCTAACCCTAACCCTAGCTCCAACCCTAACCCTAACCCTAACCCATGCATTCCTATGGGAAAAAATCAAATTTTTTTAGGAATGTCCTAGAGACTCGGGAGTTGGTTCAGTGCACTCAGAAAAATCCTAGCTCCAAGCCCAACCCTAACCCTAGCTCCAACACTAACCCTAACTCCAACCCTAACCCTAACCCTAACCCTAGCTCCAACCCTAACCCTAACCCTAACCCATGCATTCCTATGGGAAAAAATCAATTTTTTTTAGGAACGTCCAAGAGACTTGGGAGTTGGTTCATTGCACTCAGAAAAATCCTAGCTCCAAGCCCAACCCTAACCCTAGCTCCAACACTAACCCTAACTCCAACCCTAACCCTAACCCTAACCCTAGCTCCAACCCTAACCCTAACCATAACCCTAACCCATGCATTCCTATGGGAAAAAAATCAATTTTTTTTAGGAATGTCCTAGAGACTCGGGAGTTGGTTCAGTGCACTCAGAAAAATCCTAGCTCCAAGCCCAACCCTAACCCTAGCTCCAACACTAACCCTAACTCCAACCCTAACCCTAACCCTAACCCTAGCTCCAACCCTAACCCTAACCCTAACCTATGCATTCCTATGGGAAAAAATCCAATTTTTTTAGGAATGTCCTAGAGACTCGGGAGTTGGTTCAGCGCACTCAGAAAAATCCTAGCTCCAAGCCCAACCCTAACCCTAGCTCCAACACTAACCCTAACTCCAACCCTAACCCTAACCCTAACCCTAGCTCCAACCCTAACCCTAACCCTAACCCTAACCCATGCATTCCTATGGGAAAAAATCAATTTTTTTTAGGAATGTCCTAGAGACTCGGGAGTTGGTTCAGTGCACTCAGAAAAATCCTAGCTCCAAGCCCAACCCTAACCCTAGCTCCAACACTAACCCTAACTCCAACCCTAACCCTAACCCTAACCCTAGCTCCAACCCTAACCCTAACCATAACCCTAACCCATGCATTCCTATGGGAAAAAATCAAATTTTTTTAGGAATGTCCTAGAGACTCGGGAGTTGGTTCAGTGCACTCAGAAAAATCCTAGCTCCAAGCCCAACCCTAACCCTAGCTCCAACACTAACCCTAACTCCAACCCTAACCCTAACCCTAACCCTAGCTCCAACCCTAACCCTAACCCTAACCTATGCATTCCTATGGGAAAAAATCAAATTTTTTTAGGAATGTCCTAGAGACTCGGGAGTTGGTTCAGTGCACTCAGAAAAATCCTAGCTCCAAGCCCAACCCTAACCCTAGCTCCAACACTAACCCTAACTCCAACCCTAACCCTAACCCTAACCCTAGCTCCAACCCTAACCCTAACCCTAACCCTAACCCATGCATTCCTATGGGAAAAAATCAAATTTTTTTAGGAATGTCCTAGAGACTCGGGAGTTGGTTCAGTGCACTCAGAAAAATCCTAGCTCCAAGCCCAACCCTAACCCTAGCTCCAACACTAACCCTAACTCCAACCCTAACCCTAACCCTAACCCTAGCTCCAAGCCCAACCCTAACCCTAGCTCCAACACTAACCCTAACTCCAACCCTAACCCTAACCCTAACCCTAGCTCCAACCCTAACCCTAACCCTAACCCATGCATTCCTATGGGAAAAAATCACATTTTTTTAGGAACATCCTAGAGACTCGGGAGTTGGTTCATTGCACTCAGAAAAATCCTAGCTCCAAGCCCAACCCTAACCCTAGCTCCAACACTAACCCTAACTCCAACCCTAACCCTAACCCTAACCCTAGCTCCAACCCTAACCCTAACCCTAACCCATGCATTCCTATGGGAAAAAATCAAATTTTTTTAGGAATGTCCTAGAGACTCGGGAGTTGGTTCAGTGCACTCAGAAAAATCCTAGCTCCAAGCCCAACCCTAACCCTAGCTCCAACACTAACCCTAACTCCAACCCTAACCCTAACCCTAACCCTAGCTCCAACCCTAACCCTAACCCTAACCCATGCATTCCTATGGGAAAAAATCAAATTTTTTTTAGGAATGTCCTAGAGACTCGGGAGTTGGTTCAGTGCACTCAGAAAAATCCTAGCTCCAAGCCCAACCCTAACCCTAGCTCCAACACTAACCCTAACTCCAACCCTAACCCTAACCCTAACCCTAGCTCCAACCCTAACCCTAACCCTAACCCATGCATTCCTATGGGAAAAAATCAAATTTTTTTAGGAACGTCCTAGAGACTCGGGAGTTGGTTCATTGCACTCAAGAAAAATCCTAGCTCCAAGCCCAACCCTAACCCTAGCTCCAACACTAACCCTAACTCCAACCCTAACCCTAACCCTAACCCTAGCTCCAACCCTAACCCTAACCATAACCCTAACCCATGCATTCCTATGGGAAAAAATCAAATTTTTTTAGGAATGTCCTAGAGACTCGGGAGTTGGTTCAGTGCACTCAGAAAAATCCTAGCTCCAAGCCCAACCCTAACCCTAGCTCCAACACTAACCCTAACTCCAACCCTAACCCTAACCCTAACCCTAGCTCCAACCCTAACCCTAACCCTAACCCATGCATTCCTATGGGAAAAAATCAAATTTTTTTAGGAATGTCCTAGAGACTCGGGAGTTGGTTCAGTGCACTCAGAAAAATCCTAGCTCCAAGCCCAACCCTAACCCTAGCTCCAACACTAACCCTAACTCCAACCCTAACCCTAACCCTAACCCTAGCTCCAACCCTAACCCTAACCCTAACCCATGCATTCCTATGGGAAAAAATCAAATTTTTTTAGGAACGTCCTAGAGACTCGGGAGTTGGTTCATTGCACTCAGAAAAATCCTAGCTCCAAGCCCAACCCTAACCCTAGCTCCAACACTAACCCTAACTCCAACCCTAACCCTAACCCTAACCCTAGCTCCAACCCTAACCCTAACCCTAACCCATGCATTCCTATGGGAAAAAATCAAATTTTTTTAGGAATGTCCTAGAGACTCGGGAGTTGGTTCAGTGCACTCAGAAAAATCCTAGCTCCAAGCCCAACCCTAACCCTAGCTCCAACACTAACCCTAACTCCAACCCTAACCCTAACCCTAACCCTAGCTCCAACCCTAACCCTAACCATAACCCTAACCCATGCATTCCTATGGGAAAAAATCAAATTTTTTTAGGAATGTCCTAGAGACTCGGGAGTTGGTTCAGTGCACTCAGAAAAATCCTAGCTCCAAGCCCAACCCTAACCCTAGCTCCAACACTAACCCTAACTCCAACCCTAACCCTAACCCTAACCCTAGCTCCAACCCTAACCCTAACCCTAACCCAAGCATTCCTATGGGAAAAAATCAAATTTTTTTAGGAATGTCCTAGAGACTCGGGAGTTGGTTCAGTGCACTCAGAAAAATCCTAGCTCCAAGCCCAACCCTAACCCTAGCTCCAACACTAACCCTAACTCCAACCCTAACCCTAACCCTAACCCTAGCTCCAACCCTAACCCTAACCATAACCCGAACCCATGCATTCCTATGGGAAAAAAATCAATTTTTTTTAGGAACGTCCTAGAGACTCGGGAGTTGGTTCAGTGCACTCAGAAAAATCCTAGCTCCAAGCCCAACCCTAACCCTAGCTCCAACACTAACCCTAACTCCAACCCTAACCCTAACCCTAACCCTAGCTCCAACCCTAACCCTAACCCTAACCTATGCATTCCTATGGGAAAAAATCAAATTTTTTTAGGAATGTCCTAGAGACTCGGGAGTTGGTTCAGTGCACTCAGAAAAATCCTAGCTCCAAGCCCAACCCTAACCCTAGCTCCAACACTAACCCTAACTCCAACCCTAACCCTAACCCTAACCCTAGCTCCAACCCTAACCCTAACCCTAACCCATGCATTCCTATGGGAAAAAATCAAATTTTTTTAGGAATGTCCTAGAGACTCGGGAGTTGGTTCAGTGCACTCAGAAAAATCCTAGCTCCAAGCCCAACCCTAACCCTAGCTCCAACACTAACCCTAACTCCAACCCTAACCCTAACCCTAACCCTAGCTCCAACCCTAACCCTAACCATAACCCTAACCCATGCATTCCTATGGGAAAAAATCAAATTTTTTTAGGAATGTCCTAGAGACTCGGGAGTTGGTTCAGTGCACTCAGAAAAATCCTAGCTCCAAGCCCAACCCTAACCCTAGCTCCAACACTAACCCTAACTCCAACCCTAACCCTAACCCTAACCCTAGCTCCAACCCTAACCCTAACCATAACCCTAACCCATGCATTCCTATGGGAAAAAATCAAATTTTTTTAGGAATGTCCTAGAGACTCGGGAGTTGGTTCAGTGCACTCAGAAAAATCCTAGCTCCAAGCCCAACCCTAACCCTAGCTCCAACACTAACCCTAACTCCAACCCTAACCCTAACCCTAACCCTAGCTCCAACCCTAACCCTAACCCTAACCCATGCATTCCTATGGGAAAAAATCACATTTTTTTAGGAACATCCTAGAGACTCGGGAGTTGGTTCATTGCACTCAGAAAAATCCTAGCTCCAAGCCCAACCCTAACCCTAGCTCCAACACTAACCCTAACTCCAACCCTAACCCTAACCCTAACCCTAGCTCCAACCCTAACCCTAACCCTAACCCATGCATTCCTATGGGAAAAAATCAATTTTTTTTAGGAACGTCCAAGAGACTCGGGAGTTGGTTCATTGCACTCAGAAAAATCCTAGCTCCAAGCCCAACCCTAACCCTAGCTCCAACACTAACCCTAACTCCAACCCTAACCCTAACCCTAACCCTAGCTCCAACCCTAACCCTAACCATAACCCGAACCCATGCATTCCTATGGGAAAAAAATCAATTTTTTTTAGGAACGTCCTAGAGACTCGGGAGTTGGTTCAGTGCACTCAGAAAAATCCTAGCTCCAAGCCCAACCCTAACCCTAGCTCCAACACTAACCCTAACTCCAACCCTAACCCTAACCCTAACCCTAGCTCCAACCCTAACCCTAACCCTAACCCATGCATTCCTATGGGAAAAAATCAATTTTTTAGGAATGTCCTAGAGACTCGGGAGTTGGTTCAGTGCACTCAGAAAAATCCTAGCTCCAAGCCCAACCCTAACCCTAGCTCCAACACTAACCCTAACTCCAACCCTAACCCTAACCCTAACCCTAGCTCCAACCCTAACCCTAACCCTAACCCATGCATTCCTATGGGAAAAAATCAATTTTTTTTAGGAATGTCCTAGAGACTCGGGAGTTGGTTCAGTGCACTCAGAAAAATCCTAGCTCCAAGCCCAACCCTAACCCTAGCTCCAACACTAACCCTAACTCCAACCCTAACCCTAACCCTAACCCTAGCTCCAACCCTAACCCATGCATTCCTATGGGAAAAAATCAAATTTTTTTAGGAACGTCCTAGAGACTCGGGAGTTGGTTCATTGCACTCAGAAAAATCCTAGCTCCAAGCCCAACCCTAACCCTAGCTCCAACACTAACCCTAACTCCAACCCTAACCCTAACCCTAACCCTAGCTCCAACCCTAACCCTAACCATAACCCTAACCCATGCATTCCTATGGGAAAAAAATCAAATTTTTTTAGGAATGTCCTAGAGACTCGGGAGTTGGTTCAGTGCACTCAGAAAAATCCTAGCTCCAAGCCCAACCCTAACCCTAGCTCCAACACTAACCCTAACTCCAACCCTAACCCTAACCCTAACCCTAGCTCCAACCCTAACCCTAACCATAACCCTAACCCATGCATTCCTATGGGAAAAAATCAAATTTTTTTAGGAATGTCCTAGAGACTCGGGAGTTGGTTCAGTGCACTCAGAAAAATCCTAGCTCCAAGCCCAACCCTAACCCTAGCTCCAACACTAACCCTAACTCCAACCCTAACCCTAACCCTAACCCTAGCTCCAACCCTAACCCTAACCCTAACCCATGCATTCCTATGGGAAAAAATCAAATTTTTTTAGGAATGTCCTAGAGACTCGGGAGTTGGTTCAGTGCACTCAGAAAAATCCTAGCTCCAAGCCCAACCCTAACCCTAGCTCCAACACTAACCCTAACTCCAACCCTAACCCTAACCCTAACCCTAGCTCCAACCCTAACCCTAACCATAACCCTAACCCATGCATTCCTATGGGAAAAAATCAAATTTTTTTAGGAATGTCCTAGAGACTCGGGAGTTGGTTCAGTGCACTCAGAAAAATCCTAGCTCCAAGCCCAACCCTAACCCTAGCTCCAACACTAACCCTAACTCCAACCCTAACCCTAACCCTAACCCTAGCTCCAACCCTAACCCTAACCATAACCCTAACCCATGCATTCCTATGGGAAAAAATCAAATTTTTTTAGGAATGTCCTAGAGACTCGGGAGTTGGTTCAGTGCACTCAGAAAAATCCTAGCTCCAAGCCCAACCCTAACCCTAGCTCCAACACTAACCCTAACTCCAACCCTAACCCTAACCCTAACCCTAGCTCCAACCCTAACCCTAACCATAACCCGAACCCATGCATTCCTATGGGAAAAAATCAAATTTTTTTAGGAATGTCCTAGAGACTCGGGAGTTGGTTCAGTGCACTCAGAAAAATCCTAGCTCCAAGCCCAACCCTAACCCTAGCTCCAACCCTAACCCTAACCCTAACCCATGCATTCCTATGGGAAAAAATCAATTTTTTTTAGGGAACGTCCTAGAGACTCGGGAGTTGGTTCATTGCACTCAGAAAAGTCCTAGATCCAAGCCCAACCCTAACCCTAGCTCCAACACTAACCCTAACTCCAACCCTAACCCTAACCATAACCCTAGCTCCAACCCTAACCCTAACCATAACCCTAACCCATGCATTCCTATGGGAAAAAATCAAATTTTTTTAGGAATGTCCTAGAGACTCGGGAGTTGGTTCAGTGCACTCAGAAAAATCCTAGCTCCAAGCCCAACCCTAACCCTAGCTCCAACACTAACCCTAACTCCAACCCTAACCCTAACCCTAACCCTAGCTCCAACCCTAACCCTAACCATAACCCTAACCCATGCATTCCTATGGGAAAAAATCAAATTTTTTTAGGAATGTCCTAGAGACTCGGGAGTTGGTTCAGTGCACTCAGAAAAATCCTAGCTCCAAGCCCAACCCTAACCCTAGCTCCAACACTAACCCTAACTCCAACCCTAACCCTAACCCTAACCCTAGCTCCAACCCTAACCCTAACCATAACCCGAACCCATGCATTCCTATGGGAAAAAATCAAATTTTTTTAGGAATGTCCTAGAGACTCGGGAGTTGGTTCAGTGCACTCAGAAAAATCCTAGCTCCAAGCCCAACCCTAACCCTAGCTCCAACCCTAACCCTAACCCTAACCCATGCATTCCTATGGGAAAAAATCAAATTTTTTTAGGAACGTCCTAGAGACTCGGGAGTTGGTTCATTGCACTCAGAAAAATCCTAGCTCCAAGCCCAACCCTAACCCTAGCTCCAACACTAACCCTAACTCCAACCCTAACCCTAACCCTAACCCTAGCTCCAACCCTAACCCTAACCATAACCCTAACCCATGCATTCCTATGGGAAAAAATCAAATTTTTTTAGGAATGTCCTAGAGACTCGGGAGTTGGTTCAGTGCACTCAGAAAAATCCTAGCTCCAAGCCCAACCCTAACCCTAGCTCCAACACTAACCCTAACTCCAACCCTAACCCTAACCCTAACCCTAGCTCCAACCCTAACCCTAACCCTAACCCATGCATTCCTATGGGAAAAAATCAAATTTTTTTAGGAATGTCCTAGAGACTCGGGAGTTGGTTCAGTGCACTCAGAAAAATCCTAGCTCCAAGCCCAACCCTAACCCTAGCTCCAACACTAACCCTAACTCCAACCCTAACCCTAACCCTAACCCTAGCTCCAACCCTAACCCTAACCATAACCCTAACCCATGCATTCCTATGGGAAAAAATCAAATTGTTTTAGGAATGTCCTAGAGACTCGGGAGTTGGTTCAGTGCACTCAGAAAAATCCTAGCTCCAAGCCCAACCCTAACCCTAGCTCCAACACTAACCCTAACTCCAACCCTAACCCTAACCCTAACCCTAGCTCCAACCCTAACCCTAACCATAACCCTAACCCATGCATTCCTAAGGGAAAAAATCAAATTTTTTTAGGAATGTCCTAGAGACTCGGGAGTTGGTTCAGTGCACTCAGAAAAATCCTAGCTCCAAGCCCAACCCTAACCCTAGCTCCAACACTAACCCTAACTCCAACCCTAACCCTAACCCTAACCCTAGCTCCAACCCTAACCCTAACCATAACCCTAACCCATGCATTCCTATGGGAAAAAATCAAATTTTTTTAGGAATGTCCTAGAGACTCGGGAGTTGGTTCAGTGCACTCAGAAAAATCCTAGCTCCAAGCCCAACCCTAACCCTAGCTCCAACACTAACCCTAACTCCAACCCTAACCCTAACCCTAACCCTAGCTCCAACCCTAACCCTAACCCTAACCCATGCATTCCTATGGGAAAAAATCAATTTTTTTTAGGGAACGTCCTAGAGACTCGGGAGTTGGTTCATTGCACTCAGAAAAATCCTAGCTCCAAGCCCAACCCTAACCCTAGCTCCAACACTAACCCTAACTCCAACCCTAACCCTAACCCTAAACCTAGCTCCAACCCTAACCCTAACCATAACCCTAACCCATGCATTCCTATGGGAAAAAATCAAATTTTTTTAGGAATGTCCTAGAGACTCGGGAGTTGGTTCAGTGCACTCAGAAAAATCCTAGCTCCAAGCCCAACCCTAACCCTAGCTCCAACACTAACCCTAACTCCAACCCTAACCCTAACCCTAACCCTAGCTCCAACCCTAACCCTAACCCTAACCCATGCATTCCTATGGGAAAAAAATCAAATTTTTTTAGGAACATCCTAGAGACTCGGGAGTTGGTTCAGTGCACTCAGAAAAATCCTAGCTCCAAGCCCAACCCTAACCCTAGCTCCAACACTAACCCTAACTTCAACCCTAACCCTAACCCTAACCCTAGCTCCAACCCTAACCCTAACCCTAACCCATGCATTCCTATGGGAAAAAATCAAATTTTTTTAGGAACGTCCAGAGACTCGGGAGTTGGTTCATTGCACTCAGAAAAATCCTAGCTCCAAGCCCAACCCTAACCCTAGCTCCAACACTAACCCTAACTCCAACCCTAACCCTAACCCTAACCCTAGCTCCAACCCTAACCCTAACCATAACTCGAACCCATGCATTCCTATGGGAAAAAAATCAATTTTTTTAGGAACGTCCTAGAGACTCGGGAGTTGGTTCAGTGCACTCAGAAAAATCCTAGCTCCAAGCCCAACCCTAACCCTAGCTCCAACACTAACCCTAACTCCAACCCTAACCCTAACCCTAACCCTAGCTCCAACCCTAACCCTAACCCTAACCCATGCATTCCTATGGGAAAAAATCAAATTTTTTTAGGAATGTCCTAGAGACTCGGGAGTTGGTTCAGTGCACTCAGAAAAATCCTAGCTCCAAGCCCAACCCTAACCCTAGCTCCAACACTAACCCTAACTCCAACCCTAACCCTAACCCTAACCCTAGCTCCAACCCTAACCCTAACCATAACCCTAACCCATGCATTCCTATGGGAAAAAATCAAATTTTTTTAGGAATGTCCTAGAGACTCGGGAGTTGGTTCAGTGCACTCAGAAAAATCCTAGCTCCAAGCCCAACCCTAACCCTAGCTCCAACACTAACCCTAACTCCAACCCTAACCCTAACCCTAACCCTAGCTCCAACCCTAACCCTAACCATAACCCTAACCCATGCATTCCTATGGGAAAAAATCAAATTGTTTTAGGAATGTCCTAGAGACTCGGGAGTTGGTTCAGTGCACTCAGAAAAATCCTAGCTCCAAGCCCAACCCTAACCCTAGCTCCAACACTAACCCTAACTCCAACCCTAACCCTAACCCTAACCCTAGCTCCAACCCTAACCCTAACCCTAACCCATGCATTCCTAAGGGAAAAAATCAAATTTTTTTAGGAACGTCCTAGAGACTCGGGAGTTGGTTCATTGCACTCAGAAAAATCCTAGCTCCAAGCCCAACCCTAACCCTAGCTCCAACACTAACCCTAACTCCAACCCTAACCCTAGCTCCAACCCTAACCCTAACCATAACCCTAACCCATGCATTCCTATGGGAAAAAATCAAATTTTTTTAGGAATGTCCTAGAGACTCGGGAGTTGGTTCAGTGCACTCAGAAAAATCCTAGCTCCAAGCCCAACCCTAACCCTAGCTCCAACACTAACCCTAACTCCAACCCTAACCCTAACCCTAACCCTAGCTCCAACCCTAACCCTAACCCTAACCCATGCATTCCTATGGGAAAAAATCAAATTTTTTTAGGAACGTCCTAGAGACTCGGGAGTTGGTTCATTGCACTCAGAAAAATCCTAGCTCCAAGCCCAACCCTAACCCTAGCTCCAACACTAACCCTAACTCCAACCCTAACCCTAACCCTAACCCTAGCTCCAACCCTAACCCTAACCCTAACCCATGCATTCCTATGGGAAAAAATCAAATTTTTTTAGGAACGTCCTAGAGACTCGGGAGTTGGTTCAGTGCACTCAGAAAAATCCTAGCTCCAAGCCCAACCCTAACCCTAGCTCCAACACTAACCCTAACTCCAACCCTAACCCTAACCCTAACCCTAGCTCCAACCCTAACCCTAACCCTAACCCATGCATTCCTATGGGAAAAAATCAAATTTTTTTAGGAACATCCTAGAGACTCGGGAGTTGGTTCATTGCACTCAGAAAAATCCTAGCTCCAAGCCCAACCCTAACCCTAGCTCCAACACTAACCCTAACTCCAACCCTAACCCTAACCCTAACCCTAGCTCCAACCCTAACCCTAACCCTAACCCATGCATTCCTATGGGAAAAAATCAAATTTTTTTAGGAACGTCCTAGAGACTCGGGAGTTGGTTCATTGCACTCAGAAAAATCCTAGCTCCAAGCCCAACCCTAACCCTAGCTCCAACACTAACCCTAACTCCAACCCTAACCCTAACCCTAACCCTAGCTCCAACCCTAACCCTAACCATAACCCTAACCCATGCATTCCTATGGGAAAAAATCAATTTTTTTTAGGAACGTCCTAGAGACTCGGGAGTTGGTTCAGTGCACTCAGAAAAATCCTAGCTCCAAGCCCAACCCTAACCCTAGCTCCAACACTAACCCTAACTCCAACCCTAACCCTAACCCTAACCCTAGCTCCAACCCTAACCCTAACCCTAACCCTAACCCATGCATTCCTATGGGAAAAAATCAAATTTTTTTAGGAATGTCCTAGAGACTCGGGAGTTGGTTCAGTGCACTCAGAAAAATCCTAGCTCCAAGCCCAACCCTAACCCTAGCTCCAACACTAACCCTAACTCCAACCCTAACCCTAACCCTAACCCTAGCTCCAACCCTAACCCTAACCCTAACCCATGCATTCCTATGGGAAAAAATCAATTTTTTTTAGGAATGTCCTAGAGACTCGGGAGTTGGTTCAGTGCACTCAGAAAAATCCTAGCTCCAAGCCCAACCCTAACCCTAGCTCCAACACTAACCCTAACTCCAACCCTAACCCTAACCCTAACCCTAGCTCCAACCCTAACCCATGCATTCCTATGGGAAAAAATCAAATTTTTTTAGGAACGTCCTAGAGACTCGGGAGTTGGTTCATTGCACTCAGAAAAATCCTAGCTCCAAGCCCAACCCTAACCCTAGCTCCAACACTAACCCTAACTCCAACCCTAACCCTAACCCTAACCCTAGCTCCAACCCTAACCCTAACCATAACCCTAACCCATGCATTCCTATGGGAAAAAATCAAATTTTTTTAGGAATGTCCTAGAGACTCGGGAGTTGGTTCAGTGCACTCAGAAAAATCCTAGCTCCAAGCCCAACCCTAACCCTAGCTCCAACACTAACCCTAACTCCAACCCTAACCCTAACCCTAACCCTAGCTCCAACCCTAACCCTAACCATAACCCTAACCCATGCATTCCTATGGGAAAAAATCAAATTTTTTTAGGAATGTCCTAGAGACTCGGGAGTTGGTTCAGTGCACTCAGAAAAATCCTAGCTCCAAGCCCAACCCTAACCCTAGCTCCAACACTAACCCTAACTCCAACCCTAACCCTAACCCTAACCCTAGCTCCAACCCTAACCCTAACCCTAACCCATGCATTCCTATGGGAAAAAATCAAATTTTTTTAGGAATGTCCTAGAGACTCGGGAGTTGGTTCAGTGCACTCAGAAAAATCCTAGCTCCAAGCCCAACCCTAACCCTAGCTCCAACACTAACCCTAACTCCAACCCTAACCCTAACCCTAACCCTAGCTCCAACCCTAACCCTAACCCTAACCCATGCATTCCTATGGGAAAAAATCAAATTTTTTTAGGAATGTCCTAGAGACTCGGGAGTTGGTTCAGTGCACTCAGAAAAATCCTAGCTCCAAGCCCAACCCTAACCCTAGCTCCAACACTAACCCTAACTCCAACCCTAACCCTAACCCTAACCCTAGCTCCAACCCTAACCCTAACCCTAACCCATGCATTCCTATGGGAAAAAATCAAATTTTTTTAGGAATGTCCTAGAGACTCGGGAGTTGGTTCATTGCACTCAGAAAAATCCTAGCTCCAAGCCCAACCCTAACCCTAGCTCCAACACTAACCCTAACTCCAACCCTAACCCTAACCCTAACCCTAGCTCCAACCCTAACCCTAACCCTAACCCATGCATTCCTATGGGAAAAAATCAAATTTTTTTAGGAACGTCCTAGAGACTCGGGAGTTGGTTCATTGCACTCAGAAAAATCCTAGCTCCAAGCCCAACCCTAACCCTAGCTCCAACACTAACCCTAACTCCAACCCTAACCCTAACCCTAACCCTAGCTCCAACCCTAACCCTAACCATAACCCTAACCCATGCATTCCTATGGGAAAAAATCAAATTTTTTTAGGAATGTCCTAGAGACTCGGGAGTTGGTTCAGTGCACTCAGAAAAATCCTAGCTCCAAGCCCAACCCTAACCCTAGCTCCAACACTAACCCTAACTCCAACCCTAACCCTAACCCTAACCCTAGCTCCAACCCTAACCCTAACCATAACCCTAACCCATGCATTCCTATGGGAAAAAAATCAAATTTTTTAGGAATGTCCTAGAGACTCGGGAGTTGGTTCAGTGCACTCAGAAAAATCCTAGCTCCAAGCCCAACCCTAACCCTAGCTCCAACACTAACCCTAACTCCAACCCTAACCCTAACCCTAACCCTAGCTCCAACCCTAACCCTAACCCTAACCCATGCATTCCTATGGGAAAAAATCAAATTTTTTTAGGAATGTCCTAGAGACTCGGGAGTTGGTTCAGTGCACTCAGAAAAATCCTAGCTCCAAGCCCAACCCTAACCCTAGCTCCAACACTAACCCTAACTCCAACCCTAACCCTAACCCTAACCCTAGCTCCAACCCTAACCCTAACCATAACCCTAACCCATGCATTCCTATGGGAAAAAATCAAATTTTTTTAGGAATGTCCTAGAGACTCGGGAGTTGGTTCAGTGCACTCAGAAAAATCCTAGCTCCAAGCCCAACCCTAACCCTAGCTCCAACACTAACCCTAACTCCAACCCTAACCCTAACCCTAACCCTAGCTCCAACCCTAACCCTAACCATAACCCTAACCCATGCATTCCTATGGGAAAAAATCAAATTTTTTTAGGAATGTCCTAGAGACTCGGGAGTTGGTTCAGTGCACTCAGAAAAATCCTAGCTCCAAGCCCAACCCTAACCCTAGCTCCAACACTAACCCTAACTCCAACCCTAACCCTAACCCTAACCCTAGCTCCAACCCTAACCCTAACCCTAACCCATGCATTCCTATTGGAAAAAATCAAATTTTTTTAGGAATGTCCTAGAGACTCGGGAGTTGGTTCAGTGCACTCAGAAAAATCCTAGCTCCAAGCCCAACCCTAACCCTAGCTCCAACACTAACCCTAACTCCAACCCTAACCCTAACCCTAACCCTAGCTCCAACCCTAACCCATGCATTCCTATGGGAAAAAATCAAATTTTTTTAGGAACGTCCTAGAGACTCGGGAGTTGGTTCATTGCACTCAGAAAAATCCTAGCTCCAAGCCCAACCCTAACCCTAGCTCCAACACTAACCCTAACTCCAACCCTAACCCTAGCTCAGACCCTAACCCTAACCCTAACCCTAAACCATGCATTCCTATGGGAAAAAATCAAATTTTTTTAGGAATGTCCTAGAGACTCGGGAGTTGGTTCAGTGCACTCAGAAAAATCCTAGCTCCAAGCCCAACCCTAACCCTAGCTCCAACACTAACCCTAACTCCAACCCTAACCCTAACCCTAACCCTAGCTCCAACCCTAACCCTAACCCTAACCCATGCATTCCTATGGGAAAAAATCAAATTTTTTTAGGAACGTCCTAGAGACTCGGGAGTTGGTTCATTGCACTCAGAAAAATCCTAGCTCCAAGCCCAACCCTAACCCTAGCTCCAACACTAACCCTAACTCCAACCCTAACCCTAACCCTAACCCTAGCTCCAACCCTAACCCTAACCCTAACCCATGCATTCCTATGGGAAAAAATCAAATTTTTTTAGGAACGTCCTAGAGACTCGGGAGTTGGTTCATTGCACTCAGAAAAATCCTAGCTCCAAGCCCAACCCTAACCCTAGCTCCAACACTAACCCTAACTCCAACCCTAACCCTAACCCTAACCCTAGCTCCAACCCTAACCCTAACCCTAACCCATGCATTCCTATGGGAAAAAATCAAATTTTTTTAGGAACATCCTAGAGACTCGGGAGTTGGTTCATTGCACTCAGAAAAATCCTAGCTCCAAGCCCAACCCTAACCCTAGCTCCAACACTAACCCTAACTCCAACCCTAACCCTAACCCTAACCCTAGCTCCAACCCTAACCCTAACCCTAACCCATGCATTCCTATGGGAAAAAATCAAATTTTTTTAGGAACGTCCTAGAGACTCGGGAGTTGGTTCATTGCACTCAGAAAAATCCTAGCTCCAAGCCCAACCCTAACCCTAGCTCCAACACTAACCCTAACTCCAACCCTAACCCTAACCCTAACCCTAGCTCCAACCCTAACCCTAACCATAACCCTAACCCATGCATTCCTATGGGAAAAAAATCAATTTTTTTAGGAATGTCCTAGAGACTCGGGAGTTGGTTCAGTGCACTCAGAAAAATCCTAGCTCCAAGCCCAACCCTAACCCTAGCTCCAACACTAACCCTAACTCCAACCCTAACCCTAACCCTAACCCTAGCTCCAACCCTAACCCTAACCCTAACCCATGCATTCCTATGGGAAAAAATCAAATTTTTTTAGGAATGTCCTAGAGACTCGGGAGTTGGTTCGATGCACTCAGAAAATCCTAGCTCCAAGCCCAACCCTAACCCTAGCTCCAACACTAACCCTAACTCCAACCCTAACCCTAACCCTAACCCTAGCTCCAACCCTAACCCTAACCCTAACCCATGCATTCCTATGGGAAAAATCAAATTTTTTTAGGAATGTCCTAGAGACTCGGGAGTTGGTTCAGTGCACTCAGAAAAATCCTAGCTCCAAGCCCAACCCTAACCCTAGCTCCAACACTAACCCTAACTCCAACCCTAACCCTAACCCTAACCCTAGCTCCAACCCTAACCCTAACCATAACCCTAACCCATGCATTCCTATGGGAAAAAATCAAATTTTTTTAGGAATGTCCTAGAGACTCGGGAGTTGGTTCAGTGCACTCAGAAAAATCCTAGCTCCAAGCCCAACCCTAACCCTAGCTCCAACACTAACCCTAACTCCAACCCTAACCCTAACCCTAACCCTAGCTCCAACCCTAACCCTAACCCTAACCCATGCATTCCTATGGGAAAAAATCAATTTTTTTAGGAATGTCCTAGAGACTCGGGAGTTGGTTCAGTGCACTCAGAAAAATCCTAGCTCCAAGCCCAACCCTAACCCTAGCTCCAACACTAACCCTAACTCCAACCCTAACCCTAACCCTAACCCTAGCTCCAACCCTAACCCATGCATTCCTAAGGGAAAAAATCAAATTTTTTTAGGGAACGTCCTAGAGACTCGGGAGTTGGTTCATTGCACTCAGAAAAGTCCTAGCTCCAAGCCCAACCCTAACCCTAGCTCCAACACTAACCCTAACTCCAACCCTAACCCTAGCTCCAACCCTAACCCTAACCATAACCCTAAACCATGCATTCCTATGGGAAAAAATCAAATTTTTTTAGGAATGTCCTAGAGACTCGGGAGTTGGTTCAGTGCACTCAGAAAAATCCTAGCTCCAAGCCCAACCCTAACCCTAGCTCCAACACTAACCCTAACTCCAACCCTAACCCTAACCCTAACCCTAGCTCCAACCCTAACCCTAACCCTAACCCATGCATTCCTATGGGAAAAAATCAAATTTTTTTAGGAACGTCCTAGAGACTCGGGAGTTGGTTCATTGCACTCAGAAAAATCCTAGCTCCAAGCCCAACCCTAACCCTAGCTCCAACACTAACCCTAACTCCAACCCTAACCCTAACCCTAACCCTAGCTCCAACCCTAACCCTAACCCTAACCCATGCATTCCTATGGGAAAAAATCAAATTTTTTTAGGAACGTCCTAGAGACTCGGGAGTTGGTTCATTGCACTCAGAAAAATCCTAGCTCCAAGCCCAACCCTAACCCTAGCTCCAACACTAACCCTAACTCCAACCCTAACCCTAACCCTAACCCTAGCTCCAACCCTAACCCTAACCCTAACCCATGCATTCCTATGGGAAAAAATCACATTTTTTTAGGAACATCCTAGAGACTCGGGAGTTGGTTCATTGCACTCAGAAAAATCCTAGCTCCAAGCCCAACCCTAACCCTAGCTCCAACACTAACCCTAACTCCAACCCTAACCCTAACCCTAACCCTAGCTCCAACCCTAACCCTAACCCTAACCCATGCATTCCTATGGGAAAAAATCAAATTTTTTTAGGAACGTCCTAGAGACTCGGGAGTTGGTTCATTGCACTCAGAAAAATCCTAGCTCCAAGCCCAACCCTAACCCTAGCTCCAACACTAACCCTAACTCCAACCCTAACCCTAACCCTAACCCTAGCTCCAACCCTAACCCTAACCATAACCCTAACCCATGCATTCCTATGGGAAAAAATCAATTTTTTTAGGAACGTCCTAGAGACTCGGGAGTTGGTTCAGTGCACTCAGAAAAATCCTAGCTCCAAGCCCAACCCTAACCCTAGCTCCAACACTAACCCTAACTCCAACCCTAACCCTAACCCTAACCCTAGCTCCAACCCTAACCCTAACCCTAACCCATGCATTCCTATGGGAAAAAATCAATTTTTTTTAGGAATGTCCTAGAGACTCGGGAGTTGGTTCAGTGCACTCAGAAAAATCCTAGCTCCAAGCCCAACCCTAACCCTAGCTCCAACACTAACCCTAACTCCAACCCTAACCCTAACCCTAACCCTAGCTCCAACCCTAACCCTAACCCTAACCCATGCATTCCTATGGGAAAAAATCAATTTTTTTAGGAATGTCCTAGAGACTCGGGAGTTGGTTCAGTGCACTCAGAAAAATCCTAGCTCCAAGCCCAACCCTAACCCTAGCTCCAACACTAACCCTAACTCCAACCCTAACCCTAACCCTAACCCTAGCTCCAACCCTAACCCTAACCCTAACCCATGCATTCCTATGGGAAAAAATCAAATTTTTTTAGGAATGTCCTAGAGACTCGGGAGTTGGTTCAGTGCACTCAGAAAAATCCTAGCTCCAAGCCCAACCCTAACCCTAGCTCCAACACTAACCCTAACTCCAACCCTAACCCTAACCCTAACCCTAGCTCCAACCCTAACCCTAACCCTAACCCATGCATTCCTATGGGAAAAAATCAAATTTTTTTAGGAATGTCCTAGAGACTCGGGAGTTGGTTCAGTGCACTCAGAAAAATCCTAGCTCCAAGCCCAACCCTAACCCTAGCTCCAACACTAACCCTAACTCCAACCCTAACCCTAACCCTAACCCTAGCTCCAACCCTAACCCTAACCATAACCCTAACCCATGCATTCCTATGGGAAAAAATCAAATTTTTTTAGGAACGTCCTAGAGACTCGGGAGTTGGTTCATTGCACTCAGAAAAATCCTAGCTCCAAGCCCAACCCTAACCCTAGCTCCAACACTAACCCTAACTCCAACCCTAACCCTAACCCTAACCCTAGCTCCAACCCTAACCCTAACCATAACCCTAACCCATGCATTCCTATGGGAAAAAAATCAAATTTTTTTAGGAATGTCCTAGAGACTCGGGAGTTGGTTCAGTGCACTCAGAAAAATCCTAGCTCCAAGCCCAACCCTAACCCTAGCTCCAACACTAACCCTAACTCCAACCCTAACCCTAACCCTAACCCTAGCTCCAACCCTAACCCTAACCATAACCCTAACCCATGCATTCCTATGGGAAAAAAATCAAATTTTTTTAGGAATGTCCTAGAGACTCGGGAGTTGGTTCAGTGCACTCAGAAAAATCCTAGCTCCAAGCCCAACCCTAACCCTAGCTCCAACACTAACCCTAACTCCAACCCTAACCCTAACCCTAACCCTAGCTCCAACCCTAACCCTAACCCTAACCCATGCATTCCTATGGGAAAAAATCAAATTTTTTTAGGAATGTCCTAGAGACTCGGGAGTTGGTTCAGTGCACTCAGAAAAATCCTAGCTCCAAGCCCAACCCTAACCCTAGCTCCAACACTAACCCTAACTCCAACCCTAACCCTAACCCTAACCCTAGCTCCAACCCTAACCCTAACCATAACCCTAACCCATGCATTCCTATGGGAAAAAATCAAATTTTTTTAGGAATGTCCTAGAGACTCGGGAGTTGGTTCAGTGCACTCAGAAAAATCCTAGCTCCAAGCCCAACCCTAACCCTAGCTCCAACACTAACCCTAACTCCAACCCTAACCCTAACCCTAACCCTAGCTCCAACCCTAACCCTAACCATAACCCTAACCCATGCATTCCTATGGGAAAAAATCAAATTTTTTTAGGAATGTCCTAGAGACTCGGGAGTTGGTTCAGTGCACTCAGAAAAATCCTAGCTCCAAGCCCAACCCTAACCCTAGCTCCAACACTAACCCTAACTCCAACCCTAACCCTAACCCTAACCCTAGCTCCAACCCTAACCCTAACCATAACCCGAACCCATGCATTCCTATGGGAAAAAATCAAATTTTTTTAGGAATGTCCTAGAGACTCGGGAGTTGGTTCAGTGCACTCAGAAAAATCCTAGCTCCAAGCCCAACCCTAACCCTAGCTCCAACCCTAACCCTAACCCTAACCCATGCATTCCTATGGGAAAAAATCAATTTTTTTTAGGGAACGTCCTAGAGACTCGGGAGTTGGTTCATTGCACTCAGAAAAGTCCTAGATCCAAGCCCAACCCTAACCCTAGCTCCAACACTAACCCTAACTCCAACCCTAACCCTAACCCTAAACCTAGCTCCAACCCTAACCCTAACCATAACCCTAACCCATGCATTCCTATGGGAAAAAAATCAAATTTTTTTAGGAATGTCCTAGAGACTCGGGAGTTGGTTCAGTGCACTCAGAAAAATCCTAGCTCCAAGCCCAACCCTAACCCTAGCTCCAACACTAACCCTAACTCCAACCCTAACCCTAACCCTAACCCTAGCTCCAACCCTAACCCTAACCCTAACCCATGCATTCCTATGGGAAAAAATCAAATTTTTTTAGGAATGTCCTAGAGACTCGGGAGTTGGTTCAGTGCACTCAGAAAAATCCTAGCTCCAAGCCCAACCCTAACCCTAGCTCCAACACTAACCCTAACTCCAACCCTATCCCTAACCCTAACCCTAGCTCCAACCCTAACCCTAACCATAACCCTAACCCATGCATTCCTATGGGAAAAAATCAAATTGTTTTAGGAATGTCCTAGAGACTCGGGAGTTGGTTCAGTGCACTCAGAAAAATCCTAGCTCCAAGCCCAACCCTAACCCTAGCTCCAACACTAACCCTAACTCCAACCCTAACCCTAACCCTAACCCTAGCTCCAACCCTAACCCTAACCATAACCCTAACCCATGCATTCCTAAGGGAAAAAATCAAATTTTTTTAGGAATGTCCTAGAGACTCGGGAGTTGGTTCAGTGCACTCAGAAAAATCCTAGCTCCAAGCCCAACCCTAACCCTAGCTCCAACACTAACCCTAACTCCAACCCTAACCCTAACCCTAACCCTAGCTCCAACCCTAACCCTAACCATAACCCTAACCCATGCATTCCTATGGGAAAAAATCAAATTTTTTTAGGAATGTCCTAGAGACTCGGGAGTTGGTTCAGTGCACTCAGAAAAATCCTAGCTCCAAGCCCAACCCTAACCCTAGCTCCAACACTAACCCTAACTCCAACCCTAACCCTAACCCTAACCCTAGCTCCAACCCTAACCCTAACCCTAACCCATGCATTCCTATGGGAAAAAATCAATTTTTTTTGGGAACGTCCTAGAGACTCGGGAGTTGGTTCATTGCACTCAGAAAAGTCCTAGATCCAAGCCCAACCCTAACCCTAGCTCCAACACTAACCCTAACTCCAACCCTAACCCTAACCCTAAACCTAGCTCCAACCCTAACCCTAACCATAACCCTAACCCATGCATTCCTATGGGAAAAAATCAAATTTTTTTAGGAATGTCCTAGAGACTCGGGAGTTGGTTCAGTGCACTCAGAAAAATCCTAGCTCCAAGCCCAACCCTAACCCTAGCTCCAACACTAACCCTAACTCCAACCCTAACCCTAACCCTAACCCTAGCTCCAACCCTAACCCTAACCCTAACCCATGCATTCCTATGGGAAAAAATCAAATTTTTTTAGGAACATCCTAGAGACTCGGGAGTTGGTTCAGTGCACTCAGAAAAATCCTAGCTCCAAGCCCAACCCTAACCCTAGCTCCAACACTAACCCTAACTCCAACCCTAACCCTAACCCTAACCCTAGCTCCAACCCTAACCCTAACCATAACCCTAACCCATGCATTCCTATGGGAAAAAATCAAATTTTTTTAGGAATGTCCTAGAGACTCGGGAGTTGGTTCAGTGCACTCAGAAAAATCCTAGCTCCAAGCCCAACCCTAACCCTAGCTCCAACACTAACCCTAACTCCAACCCTAACCCTAACCCTAACCCTAGCTCCAACCCTAACCTTAACCATAACCCTAACCCATGCATTCCTATGGGAAAAAAATCAATTTTTTTTAGGAATGTCCTAGAGACTCGGGAGTTGGTTCAGTGCACTCAGAAAAATCCTAGCTCCAAGCCCAACCCTAACCCTAGCTCCAACACTAACCCTAACTCCAACCCTAACCCTAACCCTAACCCTAGCTCCAACCCTAACCCTAACCCTAACCCATGCATTCCTATGGGAAAAAATCAAATTTTTTTAGGAATGTCCTAGAGACTCGGGAGTTGGTTCAGTGCACTCAGAAAAATCCTAGCTCCAAGCCCAACCCTAACCCTAGCTCCAACACTAACCCTAACTCCAACCCTAACCCTAACCCTATCCCTAACCCTAACCCTAACCCTAGCTCCAACCCTAACCCTAACCCTAACCCATGCATTCCTATGGGAAAAAATCAAATTTTTTCAGGAACGTCCTAGAGACTCGGGAGTTGGTTCAGTGCACTCAGAAAAATCCTAGCTCCAAGCCCAACCCTAACCCTAGCTCCAACACTAACCCTAACTCCAACCCTAACCCTAACCCTAACCCTAGCTCCAACCCTAACCCTAACCATAACCCTAACCCATGCATTCCTATGGGAAAAAATCAAATTTTTTTAGGAATGTCCTAGAGACTCGGGAGTTGGTTCAGTGCACTCAGAAAAATCCTAGCTCCAAGCCCAACCCTAACCCTAGCTCCAACACTAACCCTAACTCCAACCCTAACCCTAACCCTAACCCTAGCTCCAAACCTAACCTTAACCATAACCCTAACCCATGCATTCCTATGGGAAAAAATCAATTTTTTTAGGAATGTCCTAGAGACTCGGGAGTTGGTTCAGTGCACTCAGAAAAATCCTAGCTCCAAGCCCAACCCTAACCCTAGCTCCAACACTAACCCTAACTCCAACCCTAACCCTAACCCTAACCCTAGCTCCAACCCTAACCCTAACCCTAACCCATGCATTCCTATGGGAAAAAATCAAATTTTTTTAGGAATGTCCTAGAGACTCGGGAGTTGGTTCAGTGCACTCAGAAAAATCCTAGCTCCAAGCCCAACCCTAACCCTAGCTCCAACACTAACCCTAACTCCAACCCTAACCCTAACCCTAACCCTAACCCTAGCTCCAACCCTAACCCTAACCCTAACCCATGCATTCCTATGGGAAAAAATCAAATTTTTTCAGGAACGTCCTAGAGACTCGGGAGTTGGTTCAGTGCACTCAGAAAAATCCTAGCTCCAAGCCCAACCCTAACCCTAGCTCCAACACTAACCCTAACTCCAACCCTAACCCTAACCCTAACCCTAGCTCCAACCCTAACCCTAACCATAACCCTAACCCATGCATTCCTATGGGAAAAAATCAAATTTTTTTAGGAATGTCCTAGAGACTCGGGAGTTGGTTCAGTGCACTCAGAAAAATCCTAGCTCCAAGCCCAACCCTAACCCTAGCTCCAACACTAACCCTAACTCCAACCCTAACCCTAACCCTAACCCTAGCTCCAACCCTAACCCTAACCATAACCCTAACCCATGCATTCCTATGGGAAAAAATCAAATTTTTTTAGGAATGTCCTAGAGACTCGGGAGTTGGTTCAGTGCACTCAGAAAAATCCTAGCTCCAAGCCCAACCCTAACCCTAGCTCCAACACTAACCCTAACTCCAACCCTAACCCTAACCCTAACCCTAGCTCCAACCCTAACCCTAACCATAACCCTAACCCATGCATTCCTATGGGAAAAAATCAAATTTTTTTAGGAATGTCCTAGAGACTCGGGAGTTGGTTCAGTGCACTCAGAATAATCCTAGCTCCAAGCCCAACCCTAACCCTAGCTCCAACACTAACCCTAACTCCAACCCTAACCCTAACCCTAACCCTAGCTCCAACCCTAACCCTAACCATAACCCTAACCCATGCATTCCTATGGGAAAAAATCAAATTTTTTTAGGAATGTCCTAGAGACTCGGGAGTTGGTTCAGTGCACTCAGAAAAATCCTAGCTCCAAGCCCAACCCTAACCCTAGCTCCAACACTAACCCTAACTCCAACCCTAACCCTAACCCTAACCCTAGCTCCAACCCTAACCCTAACCCTAACCCATGCATTCCTATGGGAAAAAATCAATTTTTTTTAGGAATGTCCTAGAGACTCGGGAGTTGGTTCAGTGCACTCAGAAAAATCCTAGCTCCAAGCCCAACCCTAACCCTAGCTCCAACACTAACCCTAACTCCAACCCTAACCCTAACCCTAACCCTAGCTCCAACCCTAACCCTAACCCTAACCCTAACCCATGCATTCCTATGGGAAAAAATCAAATTTTTTTAGGAATGTCCTAGAGACTCGGGAGTTGGTTCAGTGCACTCAGAAAAATCCTAGCTCCAAGCCCAACCCTAACCCTAGCTCCAACACTAACCCTAACTCCAACCCTAACCCTAACCCTAACCCTAGCTCCAACCCTAACCCTAACCCTAACCCATGCATTCCTATGGGAAAAAATCAAATTTTTTTAGGAACGTCCTAGAGACTCGGGAGTTGGTTCAGTGCACTCAGAAAAATCCTAGCTCCAAGCCCAACCCTAACCCTAGCTCCAACACTAACCCTAACTCCAACCCTAACCCTAACCCTAACCCTAGCTCCAACCCTAACCCTAACCCTAACCCTAACCCATGCATTCCTATGGGAAAAAATCAAATTTTTTTAGGAATGTCCTAGAGACTCGGGAGTTGGTTCAGTGCACTCAGAAAAATCCTAGCTCCAAGCCCAACCCTAACCCTAGCTCCAACACTAACCCTAACTCCAACCCTAACCCTAACCCTAACCCTAGCTCCAACCCTAACCCTAACCATAACCCTAACCCATGCATTCCTATGGGAAAAAAATCAAATTTTTTTAGGAATGTCCTAGAGACTCGGGAGTTGGTTCAGTGCACTCAGAAAAATCCTAGCTCCAAGCCCAACCCTAACCCTAGCTCCAACACTAACCCTAACTCCAACCCTAACCCTAACCCTAACCCTAGCTCCAACCCTGAACCCTAACCCTAACCCATGCATTCCTATGGGAAAAAATCAAATTTTTTTAGGGAACGTCCTAGAGACTCGGGAGTTGGTTCATTGCACTCAGAAAAGTCCTAGCTCCAAGCCCAACCCTAACCCTAGCTCCAACACTAACCCTAACTCCAACCCTAACCCTAACCCTAACCCTAGCTCCAACCCTAACCCTAACCATAACCCTAAACCATGCATTCCTATGGGAAAAAATCAAATTTTTTTAGGAATGTCCTAGAGACTCGGGAGTTGGTTCAGTGCACTCAGAAAAATCCTAGCTCCAAGCCCAACCCTAACCCTAGCTCCAACACTAACCCTAACTCCAACCCTAACCCTAACCCTAACCCTAGCTCCAACCCTAACCCTAACCATAACCCATGCATTCCTATGGGAAAAAATCAAATTTTTTTAGGAACGTCCTAGAGACTCGGGAGTTGGTTCATTGCACTCAGAAAAATCCTAGCTCCAAGCCCAACCCTAACCCTAGCTCCAACACTAACCCTAACTCCAACCCTAACCCTAACCCTAACCCTAGCTCCAACCCTAACCCTAACCCTAACCCATGCATTCCTATGGGAAAAAATTAAATTTTTTTAGGAACGTCCAAGAGACTCGGGAGTTGGTTCATTGCACTCAGAAAAATCCTAGCTCCAAGCCCAACCCTAACCCTAGCTCAAACACTAACCCTAACTCCAACCCTAACCCTAACCCTAACCCTAGCTCCAACCCTAACCCTAACCATAACCCTAACCCATGCATTCCTATGGGAAAAAAATCAAATTTTTTTAGGAATGTCCTAGAGACTCGGGAGTTGGTTCAGTGCACTCAGAAAAATCCTAGCTCCAAGCCCAACCCTAACCCTAGCTCCAACACTAACCCTAACTCCAACCCTAACCCTAGCTCCAACCCTAACCCTAACCCTAACCCATGCATTCCTATGGGAAAAAATCAAATTTTTTTAGGAATGTCCTATGGACTCGGGAGTTGGTTCAGTGCACTCAGAAAAATCCTAGCTCCAAGCCCAACCCTAACCCTAGCTCAAACACTAACCCTAACTCCAACCCTAACCCTAACCCTAACCCTAGCTCCAACCCTAACCCTAACCATAACCCTAACCCATGCATTCCTATGGGAAAAAATCAAATTTTTTTAGGAATGTCCTAGAGACTCGGGAGTTGGTTCAGTGCACTCAGAAAAATCCTAGCTCCAAGCCCAACCCTAACCCTAGCTCCAACACTAACCCTAACTCCAACCCTAACCCTAACCCTAACCCTAGCTCCAACCCTAACCCTAACCATAACCCTAACCCATGCATTCCTATGGGAAAAAAATCAATTTTTTTTAGGAATGTCCTAGAGACTCGGGAGTTGGTTCAGTGCACTCAGAAAAATCCTAGCTCCAAGCCCAACCCTAACACTAGCTCCAACACTAACCCTAACTCCAACCCTAACCCTAACCCTAACCCTAGCTCCAACCCTAACCCTAACCCTAACCCATGCATTCCTATGGGAAAAAATCAAATTTTTTAGGAATGTCCTAGAGACTCGGGAGTTGGTTCAGTGCACTCAGAAAAATCCTAGCTCCAAGCCCAACCCTAACCCTAGCTCCAACACTAACCCTAACTCCAACCCTAACCCTAACCCTAACCCTAACCCTAGCTCCAACCCTAACCCTAACCCTAACCCATGCATTCCTATGGGAAAAAATCAAATTTTTTTAGGGAACGTCCTAGAGACTCGGGAGTTGGTTCAGTGCACTCAGAAAAATCCTAGCTCCAAGCCCAACCCTAACCCTAGCTCCAACACTAACCCTAACTCCAACCCTAACCCTAACCCTAACCCTAGCTCCAACCCTAACCCTAACACTAACCCATGCATTCCTATGGGAAAAAATCAAATTTTTTTAGGAACGTCCTAGAGACTCGGGAGTTGGTTCATTGCACTCAGAAAAATCCTAGCTCCAAGCCCAACCCTAACCCTATCTCCAACACTAACCCTAACTCCAACCCTAACCCTAACCCTAACCCTAGCTCCAACCCTAACCCTAACCCTAACCCATGCATTCCTATGGGAAAAAATCAAATTTTTTTAGGAACCTCCAAGAGACTCGGGAGTTGGTTCATTGCACTCAGAAAAATCCTAGCTCCAAGCCCAACCCTAACCCTAGCTCCAACACTAACCCTAACTCCAACCCTAACCCTAACCCTAACCCTAGCTCCAACCCTAACCCTAACCATAACCCTAACCCATGCATTCCTATGGGAAAAAAATCAAATTTTTTTAGGAATGTCCTAGAGACTCGCGAGTTGGTTCAGTGCACTCAGAAAAATCCTAGCTCCGAGCCCAACCCTAACCCTAGCTCCAACACTAACCCTAACTCCAACCCTAACCCTAACCCTAGCTCCAACCCTAACCCTAACCTTAACCCTAACCCTAGCTCCAACCCTAACCCTAACCCTAACCCTAGCTCCAACCCTAACCCCAACCCTAGCTCCAACCCTAACCCTAACCCTAACCCTAGCTCCAACCCTAACCCTAACCCTGACCCTAGCTCCAACCCTAACCCTAACCCTAGCTCCAACCCTAACCCTAACCCTAACCCTAGCTCCAACCTAACCCTAACCCTAGCTCCAACCCTAACCCTAACCCTAACCCTAACCCCAGCTCCAACCCTAACCCTAACCCTAACCCTAACCCCAGCTCCAACCCTAACCCTAACCCTAGCTCCAACCCTAACCCTAACCCTAGCTCCAACCCTAACCCTAACCCTAACCCTAGCTCCAACCCTAACCCTAGCCCTAACCCTAACCCTAGCTCCAACCCTAACCCTGACCCTTGCTCCAACCCTAACCCTAACCCTAGCTCAAACCCTAACCCTAACCCTAGCTCCAACCCTAACCCTAACCCTAACCCCAGCTCCAACCCTAACCCAAAACCTAACCCTAGCTCCAACCCTAACCCTAACCCTAGCTCCAACCCTAAACCTAACCTTAACCCTAACCCTAGCTCGAACCCTAAACCTAACCCTAACCCTAGCTCCAACCCTAACCCTAACCCTAACCCTAACCCTAGCTCCAACCCTAACCCTAACCCTGACCCTAGCTCCAACCCTAACCCTAACCCTAGCTCCAACCCTAACCCTAACCCTAGCTCCAACCCTAACCCTAACCCTAACCCTAGCTCCAACCCTAACCCTAACCCTAACCCTAGCTCCAACCCTAACCCTAACCCTAACCCTAACCCCAGCTCCAACCCTAACCCTAACCCTAGCTCCAACCCTAATCCTAACACTAACCCTAACCCCAGCTCCAACCCTAACCCTAGCTCCAACCCTAACCCTAACCCTAACCCTAGCTCCAACCCTAACCCTAACCCTTCCCCTAACCCTAGCTCCAACCCTAACCCTAACCCTAGCTCCAACCCTAACCCTAACCCTGACCCTAGCTCCAACCCTAACCCTAACCCTAGCTCAAACCCTAACCCTAACCCTAGCTCCAACCCTAACCCCAGCTCCAACCCTAACCCAAACCCTAACCCTAGCTCCAACCCTAACCCTAACCCTAGCTCCAACCCTAACCCTAACCTAAACCCTAACCCTAGCTCCAACCCTAACCCTTGCTCCAACCCTAACCCTAACCCTGACCCTAGCTCCAACCCTAACCCTAACCCTAACCCTAGCACCAACCCTAACCCTAACCCTAACCCTAGCTCCAACCCTAACCCTAACCCTAACCCTAACCCTAGCTCCAACCCTAACCTTCACCCTAGCTCCAACCCTAACCCTAGCCCTAACCCTAACCCTAGCTCCAACCCTAACCCTAACCCTAACCCTAGCTCCAACCCTAACCCTAACCCTAACCCTAGCTCCAACCCTAACCCTAGCCCTAACCCTAACCCTAGCTCCAACCCTAACCCTAACCCTAACCCTAACACTTACTAACACTTCGAAAATTTTTGGTAAATTTTCCTAAGTAAACTTTTCAAAAAACTTCCCCTAGAATTAGGTCCTATAGACTCCCCGTGGCCTGAAACGTGCTCCTAACACAATTCTGGAAGGTGAAAAAATGAAAAATTGGGTCTTGCTGCCACCTAACCCTAACCCTAACCCTTCCTCCAACCCTAACCCTAGCCCTAACCCTAGCTGCAACCCTAACCCTAACCCTAGCTGCAACCCTAACCCTAACCATAGCTACAACCCTAACCCTAGCTACAAGCGTTACCCTAACCCTAGCTACAACCCTAACCCTAGCAACTACCTTAACCCTAACCCTAGCTGCAAACCTAACCCTAACCCTAATCCTTGCTGCAACCCTAACCCTAACCCTAGCTCCAACCCTCACCCGAGCTCCAACCTTAACCCAACCCCTATCCCTAGCCCAACCCTTAACCTATCTCTAACCCTAGCTCCAACCCTAACCCGAGCTCCAACCTTAACCCAACCCCTATCCCTAGCCCAACCCTAACCCTAGCTACAACCCTAACCCTTGCTCCAACCCTTACCCTAGCAACTACCCTAACCCTAACCCTAGCTGCAACCCTAACCCTAACCCTAATCCTTGCTGCAACCCTAACCCTAGCGCCAACCCTAACCCGAGCTCCAACCTTAACCCAACCCCTATCCCTAGCCCAACCCTAAACCTATCTCTAACCCTAGCTGAACCCTAACGCTGACCCGACCCTAATTCTAACACTAGTCCAACCCTAACCCTGGCCAACCCTAACCTTAAGCCTAGTTGCAACCCCAACTCTAACCCTAGCTGCAACCTCAACCTAACCCTAACCCAAGCCTCAACCCTAACCCTAACCCTGACCCTGGCCCAACCCTTACCATAGTCAAGTCTGATAAATATCATGCAATAGTTTTATATTCAAACTATAAATTTCACAGTTTAGTTTGATAAAAAAAATTTCAAAGTAAAGTATGATAAAAATATCACAGTGTAGTATAATATAAAAAAAATATGGTTAGGTATGATATAAACATCATTGGATAGTATGATAATAATGTTATAGTGTGGTACAACAGAAATGTCATAGTATAGTATGAAAAAATATATCGTACGACAGAAAAAAAAGTCACAGAGTAGAATTATAAAATGTCAGTACAGAATTATGAAAATGTCACAATATAGTTTGATAAAAATATCTATGTATATTATGGAAAAAAATTAAATATAGAATGGCAAAGTAACGGTATAGTATGATACAAATGTCAAAGTACAGTATGTTAAAAAATCATTGTTGAGTATCAAAAAATATTGTATATTGTGTTAAAAAAATTCCATACTATAGTGTGATGGAAATTTTCTTTGAAAACAAATAATAGTTAAGTAAAATAAAAATATCACTGTATAGTATAAAACAAAGTATAGTTTGATATAAATGCCATAAAAAATTATCATTAATGTGTCAAAGTATAGTATGCAAAAATGTCATAGTGTCGTATGACAAAAATGTAGTGGTATAGTTTGATTAAAGATCTCACAGTATAGTTTGATAGAAAATATCAAAGTATAGTATGATTAAAAATGTATTATAGTATGAAAAAATGTCAGTATAGTATTTTAAGACTATCACGGTATAGTACTATAAAATGTTAGAACAGAACAGTGTTATAAAAAACATAGTTTATCATGATAAAATGTCATTGTATAGAATGATAAAGAAATCAATGTACAGTATTATTAAAATAAAGTATAGTATAATAAAATATCATAGTATAGTTTGTCAAAAAAATATCATAATGCATCATGAAAAAAATATATCAAAGAATGATCAAAATGTCATAGTACAGTATGATAAAATTTTAGAATATCATATGTTAAAACATAATAGTATAATACGATAAAAATGTTGTACTATAGTATGATAAAAATATAATATTATGAAAAAATATAATAAAATATTTTATAAAATTAGTTAAGTTTGATTAAAATATCATAGAGCAGTACAAAAAAACGTCATATTTTAGCTTGATTAAAAATAAAGTTTGACAGACATTTCATAGTAGAGTGATAAAAATGCCATAGTAAAGTATGATCAAAAAATATAATTGTAGGGTTTAATACAAATTTCATAATATAATACGATAAAAATGTCATAGTAAAGAGTGATAAAAATGTCATAGTATAGTATGTTAAAACATCATAGTATAAAACAACAAAAATGTCGTACTATAGTGTGATTAAAAATATATATTATGAAAAAAATTATAGTATAATATTTAATAAAAATAAGTTAAGTATGATTAAAATATCATAGTACAGTATGATAAAATGTCATATTTTAGTATCATAAAAAATGCCATAGTAAAGTATGATCAAAAAATATAATTTTATAGTTTAATAAAAATGTCATAATATAATACAATAAAAATGTCATAGTACAGTATGAAAAAAATGTCACAGTATTTTAAGCCTGCTTTGATTATTCGCCCATTAACAGCTAACAGTATGATTTTGTAGACATGAATGTGTGATATGAATGTAGAATGCACAAAACAACTTCTTATTAGGTAAACAGCTGGACCCATCTATGTGAGAAGTGAAGAAGAACAAGGAACCAGCCTTCATGGGAAGACAATACCAAGTGTAGCAAACTCTTTGCCAAGATAGGCGAATCCTCGACTATAAAGGTTTGAAGGGAAAGTTAGTCAGGGTTGAAGCGCTCAGACCTCAAAGCCGTCGGTTTGCTAGGGCAAGCTAATCCCGAACCCAGAGACTCTGTTGCACATTCTTGACTCATTGTAATCAATAAATAGAGCATCAACTGAGAACTCTTCTGAATCCTTGTCTTCTCTTCTTTCCATCAACAACCACGCAAAAAAGGGTGGAGGGTTATAACCACCATATTGTAGTATGAAAAAAGTCACAATATAGTTTAATAAGAATATCAAAGTATAGTATGATAAAACTTCACAGAATAGTAAAGTAAAAATGTCATAGTATATGATAAAATATCAGTAAAGTATGATAAAAATGTCAAAGATTGGAATGACAAAAATATCATGGTATAGTATGATAAAAAAATTCACATTATAGTATAAAAAAGTCACATATAGTCTGATAAAAATGTAAAAGCATAGTATGATAAAAATGTCATTATATACTTAGGAAAAATATCATAGTATAATATGATAAAAAGGGGTAGAAAAGTAAGATAAAAATGTCATATTACAGTACAGTAAAAACGTGATTGGAGAGTATTATAAAATATATGAGTATGATTTAAAATTTCACAAATTGATATACAAAATGTGGTAAAAAAAATTATAGTGTTATGACAAAAATATCAAATTTAAGTATAAAAAATGTTATAGTATAGTATGACAAAAATGTCATAGTATAGCCTGAAAAAAATTCACATTTTAGTATGAAAAAAGTCAGAGCATAGTACAATAAAAAAATGTTATAGTATCAAATACTATGATAAAAGTTAAAAATTTTTGTGGGGGAAAAAAAGTAATGGTAAAGTATAATAATAGATATCATAGTATAGTATGATCAAAAAAAATCATTGTATAGTATGATTAAAACTCCACATTTAAACATAAAAAATATCTGTAAATTTAAAATTTTAGTTTTACAACAATTTCATGTTAAAATATGAAACATGTCAGTTTATTATGATAAAAAAATGTCATACTATAGTATGATTAAAATTTTATGTATATTATGAAAAAAACATGCCATAGTATGGTATGATAAAAAATTTACATATTAATATGAAAAAATGTCAGTGTAGTATGTACACGATGATAAAATGTATAATTTATTATAAAAAGACTCATGGTATTGTAAAAAAAAAGAACAGTATGATAAAAATGTCATAGTATACAATGATTTAAATGTCAAATTTAGTATGAAAAAGGTTAATAGTATAGTATGATAATAATATTATAGTTTATTTAAATAAAAATGTGAACGTATGGTATGAGAAAAATACCACAGTATCGTATTTTAAAATGTCATAATATAGAACGTTAATAATGTCATACTATAGTATGATAAAAATGTCATAGTATAGTTCAATGAAATTATATTATAGACTGAAAATAATGTCATAGTATCGTAGTAAAAAAAATCATAGCAAAGTATGAAAAAATACCAGAGTATATTATGATAAAAATGTCATACTATAGTATGACAAAATTGTCATTGTATGGTTTGTTAAAAATAAAGTGTGATAAAAAATATCATAGTATAGTATGATAAGAATGTCATAGTTTAGTATGATAAAAATATGTTGTATGAAAAAAAAAATTGACAACCTTTAACACTATGACAGTGCTGCTTGTCTGTTTTTCATCAAGTTGATAATGTAAAAACATGAACCATATCACAAACCGGTAGTTGCTTCAAGAAAATGTACATTTCTTCAACCAACATCAAACCACCATGACACAGACCAAACATACCTTTTTCTCCTTTTCTAGAAACAAAATGTAAAAAAAAAAAAAATCAAAACATCAACTCAATTCCCATTAGGTTCTTCATGTGGATACTTGCACGTACAAAAGAGCAGAATACACTCTTTCTCACACACATATTCAGCAAGGGTTGTTGTTCCAGCTGAGGAAGAGAAGACAAATTGAAGATAAGTTCACACAGGTCATAAGTCAAACAGGCAGAGGGAATATTTACTGTTTGACTGGATTTCAACTCTGTGCACTTGAATCTCCATCAACATTTCATCATATGCCGCAAAGGCTATGTGTTTATTTCTGTGTTTAAGCCGTAGAGAAGATAAGAAGAAAGGGGGTATTGATGGAGACACGGTGAAGTAGGAACATTCCCATCCACTCTTTCCACTTTAATCTCCTCATGATTTACAACTCTTGTGTTGTTTTTCTCATGTTTAAATTTATGCAGCAATCAAACTATCCTTGACAGAGAAAATGAATCTCCAGGACTATCTGGTATTAAGCTGCTGTCTGAGTAATAAATAAATTCAGCTTGTTGGCAGAGGGTTTGAATTCTGAGGGGATGTGTCATTTTGGCACGTTAGAGATTATTTTTTAACACAGTGCACGGCTGCTAAAGCTTGCTTTATCTTCACACTTTAATGTCATCCATGTACACAGTATTTCAGTGTGGGCGTAGCGCATATGAAATCTCTTTTTTTTCTTTAACTGCAAATATCAATTACCTTTACAATTGAACATTAGCCATTGAAAAAGTGGACTAATTTCACTGCTGTGTAAGAGGTCATGTGAGTGAAAACAAACTATTGCTTTTCTTGTACAAATGTACAATTTATTAACAATACCTAAGAAAATGTCAGTGATTTAAAATGATAGGTATGTACCACTTGATTTCAGTGTCTTTAGGTGGCTTTGGCTAAACCTTAATATCATTTCAAGGGAATTATAGTCACCTTTTAACAAATACTTCCCACATGCACTCAGAATAATTATATCTTGATTTACCCCCACTATCATCTCTAAAGATGCAGGAGCTATGTGATTTGTATGAAACTGATGAGTAACACTCTTAGGGTTAATTTACTCTGCCATCTGAGGATGCATTGTCTTCTGATTCAGACTCTTTGTTTCTCAGGTAAAACCTTTGCAAATAAATTTGACAAGTGCTTTAAGTTTATGTTTCTACTTCCTTAAAGCTCCCGTGAGCTCCTGTTTTTGTTTTGTTTTTTTACCTTCATGACATTAATGTTGACCCTTTTCATGAGACCCAAAAACAAAAACAAAGACATTCAGGGAAAAGATAAAAGATTTTTCCATTGTTGTTTATAATACAAAATTCCTATGTGAAACTGAAGAAACAGCCGTTTTTACAATTTTCACAAAAAATATCCATGCTAAATAATTTATTTGTCTGTCAACAGGAAGAGGTAAATTAACGAAAGACACTAACCAAGCATGTCAAGGACAAATAAGCAAAGACTACTTTGTTCACAGGGGACACAAAAATTGATACAAACCAAACGTTCCTTACAGAGGCTTTAATTTTCTTTGCATCTCTGTAGCTCTTCTTTTCCCCATTCTTAGCTTTCCGTCTTCCCTCCTCCCTTTGACCATTTTCATTTACCTCTCAAATTTCTCTTAAGCCAACTCATGGTCCCTCACTAACAGCAGATCCCTGCCTCCTCAAACAAACCTCTGCCAAATCCTGTTTTCTTTCCTCACAATCACCTCTGCCTTCCTCTCCTTTTCTGGAATACGTGAGAAGTTTCTGTCAGCTATTAAATCAAACGAAAAAGGCAAAAAGATAATAATCCATAATCTGAAAACCCTCACTATCCAGTCTCCTATACTTTCCCATAACTTAGAGAACACAAATAAACTTTGTGGGACATAAAAATCAGTGCCAAGTCAAAGTAGTTCCCAGCTCCTTTCACAACCCAGCTGTGTATGCTGAGACTCCACTGGGTCAAGATGACCGTCCCTGTGTAGCTCTCACTTTACAGGAGCTGGTTATTTATGAGGAGGTAAAAACTGGCCACACACACAGTCACAATTTGGCATAAACTCACTCCTACACATACATACATGCACGCATACACAACTTAACAGCAGTCACTTTTCCTTATTTTTAACCTGAATCGGCTCATTGAGGAGGTGAAGGCCGTCTATAATGTTATGTAAATCCATAAGAGTGTGCAAGGAAACAGCAGGTGCTTTGTCCTTTTTCTAATTGGTTGGATGTTTGCAGTAATTATGGATCCCTCTCATTATTTATATGCAGTGATTAAATTACAGAGCAATCTGATTGGTCTAAATGAGTCCCTAATGAGAGAATGGTAATGAAGTTACACGATGTTCCAGGAAGTAGGAGGATCTTCAGAATGTATCCTTAAATCGCATCCATAATACACACACACACACACACACACACACACACATACACACACACACACACACACAGAATCACATAGTTTGTTTCATCAGCTGTGTGTCTGCGTTCTGAAAGTTATTTTGATCCACCATGGATGGACTTCAAAGCCTGACACACACACACACACACACACACACACACACACACACACACACACACACACACACACACACACACACACACACACACACTAAAGACTTAATACTAGTAGCTTCTGTGGATGGGTTCCCAGCACTCATATACTGTAGATACACATAGGTCACCTCTCTGGGGTCATAAATTAATACTGCAACAGTATCATTCCCCAGCTCCTTAATCTGAATACAACCTGCATGTGTGATGGATTACCTCTGTCCGAGCAGCAGTCTTCTCTTTATGAAATATTTTGATGTCTCATCTCTTGAAACATATGACCTCCAGGAGGTTACACAAACCTGCAACAAAACAAGGCACCAGTGTGTGACAGAGACAAATGCTTTATATCACAGAGGGCAAGGACAGGAGTTAGAAACAGGAATACAAGAAAAAAACCTTTTTTATACTGACATGCTGCCATTGTTCAGGGCCCTCTCCATTTTTTCCCAAATGTTTTATTTTTTAATGAGCAGGTACAAACTTAGATTCCCAATTTGAACATTATGCATGGGTTATGCAAGGGATAACCTGAAGTTAGTCTGTGGATAAGGGTAACTAGCGCCCCGCAGTGCACCAACGGGCCCAAGCCGTGTCACATCGCCACCTCGGTGAAAAAAATGTCATAGTATAGGTTCATAAATATATAATAGAAAAGTATGTTACAGATGTCATAGTATAACATGAGAAAGAAATAATGTAGTATAATGAAAATATTACAGTATAGGAAAATTAAAAAAGTCGCAGTATAGTATGATAAAAAATGTCGGAGTGTATTATGTTAAAAATACAATAGTTAATTTAAAAAAAATTTCAATTATAGTATGTTAAAAATGTTAAATTTGTTGAAAATATCATAGTATAGTATGATAAAATTATCATATTTATGTATAAAAAATATCATAGTTAAGTATGATTAAAATATCAAAATCATGTATAAAAATATAATTAAGTATGATAAAAATCTCTTAGTATAGTATGTTGAAATATCATAGAATACTCTGATAAAAATTCCATGGTAAAGTACAATAAAAATGTCATATAATAGTATGAAAAATATCATATTATACTATGAGAAAATATAGTATAGTCTGTAAAAAACATTAAGTATGACAAAAATATATTAGTATAATAAAATAAAAATGTAATAGTATGATATGAGAAAAATATCATTGTATTGTATGTTAGAAATATAACAGTAAAGTAAAATTAAAATGTCTGGATAGTATGATAAAAATGTCATTGTATAGTATGTATATGTTTTTATAATAAAATTATATAAAATGTCATAGTTTAGAATGTTAAAAATGTCAGTACAGAATTATAAAATGTAATAGTATGGTATGATAAAAAAATTCACATTTAATTATGAAAAAAATATCAAAGTATATTATGTTAAATAACATAGAAAAGTATGATTAAAATATCATAGTAAGGTATAATAACAAGTGCCTAACTATAGCATGATAAAAATGTCACAGTATGGTATGTTTTAAAGATCATAGGATAGTGTGATAAATATGCGACAGTTTTCAGCCAGCCAGCAAGACATAAACAAGGTCTGACATCGTACTACATCCCTTCAGGACCTTGAGTAAACTCATCCAACTGCAATTGTTTAGAAATGATATTTTTCTTTTTTGCCTTTAATTTATTTATCTTTCTTTTCCTGAACCAGTCAAAGGCTTCAAATATTAGTGCTTTATACTGTATACGTCTAAAGAAATCATCTCCCATTTCTGCAATAAGCAAATCAAAGAGTCAACAGCAATACTAGCTAGCAGCTCTTTTATGGTAGATACTAGCAGTACAAGCAGCTCTCTTTTGGTAGACTTGCTTGTGCTTTGAGTTAAACACACAGATGCTTACTAATGTGATGGATAATTATTGAACATGTTAGGTAATAGGTTTGTTTTTTACACATACAACCAGAAACATGGTTAGCTTAGCTTGGCTTGGCTAAGCCCCTGAAATAAAACAGAGACGACTTACCCAGCTATGTCAGACTACAACAAAACTATCTTAAAGCTCATCAAAAGATCATTTAAATTAGTCAACACATCATTTTACTGTGAAACAACAAAAAAAACAAACAAACCAAAAAAAACAGGAGTACTGTTGAATCGCAAGTTTGCTGTAGCTGATGTAGCATAAAGCTAAGTGCAGCTAAAGCTAACGGGAATGCCATTGGCTACACAATGATTTGTCCAGAAATCAAACTGGAGGATAAAATGATGTTAAAAGTAGCCTTAAAGTTGTGAAAGTTTTTGTAATTTTTCACAACATTCACTATCACTAATAATTCAAGAATGATGACTGTTACCTCCTCAGCCGGTGAGCACAAAACCACAGTCAGGGTATCATTGCTAACTGATACTTCCCTTGTTTGACTGCAATGTGTGAAGAATTTAAAAGGATAAATTCAACATCATTTAGGTTTTAGGGCCTGCAAATGGTGTTTATCTTTAAACCAGTGAGTTTTTTTCTGAATCTTTGAAACAAATTAGTTTAAAAAGTACAAGAGGAAACCCATTTCACAAAAAAATCTCCCGCAGAAGATGAAACTACTCTCATCCTCTAAAAGCAACTTTAAAACAGTTAGTCTCACTCACACTCTGGGGGTAAACTATGTCTGATGCCAAGAGCACTCGTGTCCACCCAACATTTCAAAAATCCATTACTACGCTCTCCTGTTGGGCACAGCAGTTGAGGTGCCTAAAAATGGCCTTCCTCTGAGGAGAGCCTGTAGTGACTCCAGTCTGACCCCTCTATCCCTCCATCGCTGCTACAGAGAACACAAGATTTAAGATGGTGAGGAGGCAAACTAATTCACTCCAGCTGGAGGCAGTGACTGCATGTGTGTTTTCAAGCTCTATTTCTCCTCCTCACCGCACACACGCACCTAAAAAAACATGCATTCCAGTGACTGCACTACTTCTGACAGACTGTCTGCTATATCTCATACACAAACATAAACAAATGACCTCTGTGGAGAAAATCAAACCGTAAGGGTGGCAGTTTATCATTAACCACGATTCCCCTGAAAGGCCAGAAGCCCAATCAATGACATGAAGCAGGGAAAAAGGAGAGAATAACAAATGATGCCGCTTTCAAACTGACAGGGAGGAAAAAAATCAAAAAAGCAATATTGGATATCAAGTTGAGCAGCAGGGGGGCGCAGGTGTCAAACAGCAAGGTTAAGTGGCAGGGTTGTGTGTGTGAGGGCATGAGAGTCCGGCCAATCTTTGTTCCTGAGAAACATAATTACCTAAAGATCCTTTTCCTGCCCTTTGGTCTTTGACATTCAGACAGACGGGGATACAGAAAAGCAGCTGACTGAAATTAATAACAGCAATGCCATTAATAGTAATTATGATAATTAAGCACGACTAATATTAAAATAAAAAAACATGAAAATGACTGAATAAATACAACGTGAATGATAACATGTGACAGTTTATAAGGTCCCCCTACAGCCTACAGCAGGATAAGAAAGGGGTCAGTATAAAACAAGCTTTTTAGAAAACAGTACTCTTAGAAAGGTGATCCAAACTAGGGCCCGACCAATTTATCGGCGAGCCCATTAAATCAGCCAATTTTAGCCCGTTCGAGACTAATCGGTAATCGGCCAAACTCGCCGATTTTCGCTGATATTTTCAGAAATAAAATGCGGAGAATAAGATTCGGTTTCACTACGAAAATGTTCCACCATTTGAAAAGTTCCCCAACTTATCCTGTAGCGCAGTAACATCATGATTAGTATATAGTATACTGTAGGTATCTACAGTATATATCTTTTTTATAACTTCATGAAACATTTAAAAAATCGGCCAATTAATCGGTAATCTAATTTTTCCCCCTCTAATAATAGGTATCGGCATCAGCCCCAAAAAATCCATATCAGTCGGGCCCCAATCCAAACTGGCCCCCAAAACCACTAAAATCATCTCATATTAGGAAACTTGCAGACTGACTGTGCAAACAGGATCTGTTCTTGAGAAAAAGAGAGGGGGGTACCGCAGAAATGAACTGCAAAAATGAAAAGGGAGCAAGAGCACAATGGTCAACTGAATGTTCTTGACTAAAATAGATACACTAGCAGATGGAGAGAACAGATAGAGACGCAGAAAAGGAAGGAGCAGAGATAAACGAGGCAGAAAGGAAGGAGAAAACCCGTGGAAGATAAGAGAGTCAGAGATACTTGGCAATGGAAGAAGTGAGAAAGACCCACATCTACCAAATACTTCAAACACGTTCAGGTATTCCATGCTGTCGGAATCTGTTTTTTATACAGAACAAATAAAGTCTGTCTTGTATTGATCCAAGCTGCATAATTATAAATTAATGTGCTGCTGTACTATATTTGTCTTGCTGTAATGCTTGACATTATGTAATCAATCAAATATGTATAACTGCTGCTTTCAATTACAGATTTTTCTTTGTTTTTCATCAAAGTTTTGGCATGGAGTCATTAACTGGGTTGACAGATTTTCTATGAATATTGATGACTAAGATTTCTGAGTTATGACCAAGCTGATGCATGTATACGTGTGGGACAGGAAGAATGATGGAGAGAGGGCAGGACAGCAAGGAAATAACAATACTGGCAGTTTTATTTTTGGTTCTGTTCCAAATTTAAATAATTGGTTAAAAGAAAAAACTTGAAAAAAATATTTAAAAAAACAACATTCCTGCAGGATGAAACAAGATCTTGGAGAAACATCCTGGATATTTTCCTAAATTTAAATAATTTGTGAAGTTTTTATTGGTAGAAAACTTAACATTTCATCATGACAGTGTGACGGTTCCCTGGTGTCTAATGCATGCTTTTCCCTCTGTCAAGCAGGAGGTTACCAGGGGGCGGTCCGCATCCAACACCCTAACACACATTACATCATCCGTTGTTTTTGTCGCGGCTGAAGAGCCTGGTCGTGACAACAGGAAATCCACTTATTAAACAAGAGCAAATGTTAGTGTGTGAGTAAACGCATCTTTTCTTTACTGAGTCTCTGCAGACAGGGGATGTCAGACGCTGTATGGATTCTGAGGTCCTTTGAGACATACGTGTGATTTTTGAAGCTATATATAAAACTTGACTTAAACATGTGCTGAATAGAAAAGAAGCTTTCCATGTCAGTCTGTGAGTTACTTTTCTGGCACTTTTGAAAGGTGTGTGCGTGTGTGTGTGTGTTTGTGTGTGTGTGTGTGTGTATGGCAGGTGTCAGCGTGAGATGGGGGTTAGTGGGATGTGTGTGTATCTCTCTGTCTCTGAGGGGCTTCAGCCTTCTTCTCAAAGCTGTCCCAGTAGGCAGGGTCTTCTTCTGCCAGAGGCGAAGCTGAGGCGATGAGGTCGCTGAATGACAGCAGCGTGAACGTTGATGGATGAGGAAGAGATGAAGAAAACGGCTGAAGCCAAGACAAGAAGGAGAAGGTTTGGGGTTAAATAGCTGATTACTTTCATTAAGGGGATACCTATGATTGTAAATTGGCCCTCTGAGTATCTTTAAAATGATTTATTCACCCTGAATTAAATACTGAACATGAAAATGTTTTGTTTCCTTACTGCTGAGCAGAATTTATCTGCTGGTCCAAGAGCTACAGCGACGTGATGATCAGCACCTAGCAAGCTCTCCTGCAGAAAGACAGACTCATGTAAACATACAGGCAGTAAACATCAAGCTGTCATACATTAGTGTGAAGCCCATTTTTCAGGTGCTCTCTTATCATTATGTGTGCTTCCTCATCGTGAGGCTGCGGTGAGAACATCGCCAGAGGTCAGCAGGAAGTAATAAGTCTCAAAGCTGCTCTCTGATCCAGCAAACCAACAGTGAGCCAGAGGACACACGGTCAACAGCCACGCTGCTCCTCTCAACTCTCTCTTAACATTCTGAGCTTTGAGCGAGATTGCAGTGACCTCTTGGGGTCACTGCAATCATTCACTAATCACAAATAATGATGCGTGTCACTTCTTTCTTATAACACACAGGGAGGTCACGAGACTTATGCACTAAAATAGCAACAACACACTTAGGTGTGTTAGAGAGGGGCCATGTCTACGTCTCTATCTAAGCTGTAAGACGGTTTTTCATTCATCGCAATACATCTGAAAGTGTGAGACTGTCTAAATCCAGTCCCTCGAAACTCAAGGTGATCTGTGATGGTTTATGGACACATTTGAATAAAATAGTGTAATTTGTGTTGTGAGACGACTCTACCAGACAGAGGCTTGTGGTTTCTTTTAGTCCGTTGACCAATCAAAAGCTTTATCTCTGATCAGCTGACCTGAGCACGTTAGGTAAGAAGCCAGAAGTCTCAGCCTGCTTATAGCACAGAAATATGTAATATAGAGCTGCTTTCAATAGATCATGCCAAACAGCTTAACATGGTACATGCAGATCTGTGCTCTCCATCTCTGTACCAACTTGAGCGCTCCATTTACACAAGTGATCGATTTTTATTTCATAACAGTGAAAGTTATTAAAAACACCCACTTACCTATTCTTAATCAATATGCTTGTTTTATTTTTAAGTGCCCTATGTAAAAAAGCAGGATGGATTTGGTTTTCATTTGGTCGATAAGGTAGATTTCACTTCTACGACTTTAGTAAATTTTTCATCTCTTTCTTCTTTTATATTATTTCAATGTAGATCAGCAGCCGTGGCTGTCCTTCTCTATTTTCTATTGGCAACATTTAGTTTAAAATGTGGCTATAGATCTTTTTTTCATGTGCTTTGGTGCTTTTTTTATATGACTGAATGGGAAAAATAACTGCATTATTTTACTGTAGAAGATGTTATAAGCAAAAATAAGATAAGATAAAATAAGAACTTTATTGACCCAAGAAGGGAAATCTGGCATCTGCAGAGAATTTTTCAGTTTGATAACAGAAGAGATTCCCATCTTTCTTCTTAGTTTATTTCACTTAAGGTATTCTATAACAAATTTACACCTAAACGCTCAAAAATTATGTATATACTTGAGTTCTCCTGAAAAAATGAGGCAAAAAAATGTATTGCCATCTCCCTGCAATCGATAATGGCGAGCTGTTATTCTCTGGTGTGAAAACACAGGCACTGAAACAGCATTAAAGCTTCACAATCTGAGAGGCTCAGAGAGAGGAGATGTAACATCAGGCTTTTCAAAGCTGTGGTAACCTTTTAGCAGTCACTTGTTAATCTCTCCGCCACTGGGCATGAAGGAAAGAGTGATGAGAGGAGGAGAGTGGAGAAGAAAAACACAAATGGAGAGGAGCAAGGAGAGAGCAGGTACATGGAAACGGAGAAAGATAATGGGGAACGTATCAAAGCTAAGAAGTGGAGAAGAGCTGGATTGGAGGTGAGGAGATAAGACCACAAGAGGACAAGGAGCTCAGATGAGGAGAAAAGAGGAGCTGAAATGGAAATTGCAACGGAGAGGAGTGAAGCAAACAGATGAGTGTTCTGCCCCGATGCTCCTCTAATCTCTTGTCACAGTGTTAGGGGGGTTAAGGGCCACTTGAGAGCACCCCAGTTGCAATCTCCTGTGTGTATTTCTCTGTATGCTCACCTGTGATTTATTTCGTAGCTGCTTTTAAGGGGGAATGAAGCTGCCATGAGGGAATGAAGCGTGGACAATCCCACCATAGATATGTCACATCCTTTCAACCCCTGCTTTCAAGTTTATGGTTTTCTGTCTGTTCATTTCACAAACACTGCTACAAGATGCATAACAAGCAACATCCTTTATCATACTATTCTAAGTATAACAATGAATACGTTGAGAATTGTTATCTGTCATATATTCTTTTTTATATCTACTTTAAACACGGTCTTCTAGAGGGAATAGTTCATCATATATATATAGACCTGCTCTATTTCACTTTTTTCTCAAAATGACTGTAAATCAGGTCAAGTTGTGATTTAATGGGGGAGGTGAAGGACTATTTTTCAGACGACCTCCTGAAGACTTATTATTACCGTCTGGTTGCCAAGCAACCAATAAGGACCAGCTGGGATAAGACAAATTAGATAAATAGATTTGCTCGCCCAAGACTGTGTGTACCTACTATTTTGTCATCTCTCTGCTAAGCTAGTTGTCTTCTTGCTGTAGCTTCAAAACTCCCCTTCAGAAACAAATGTAAGTGAGACAATGTCCATGTACTATACAGTAGAAACAAAGATTAAACTTTTAAAAAACAAATTAAGAAAGAACGACTTGAAACACGCAATGAAATTCTTGGCTATTACACAAAATTAAACGGTATTCATCATTTTTTTCTATATGTTCACAACAAACTTCCTCCAAAGCAATAAAACCTTTTGTTATAAACTGCACAGTGTCGTGTACACAACAATCTGTCTGCGATATATTTGTACATTTTCAACGTCTACTCTGAAAACTAATCTTGTTGTTTTGTTCCTCTCTCACTTTAAACACCTGTTTTCAAACATACTCACTTCAAACATCCAGTCCTCCTCTTCTTCATCATCCAGGTACATCTTGGTCTGGCGCAGTGCCCGGTCCTGTGAGAGTGGGTCAGCAGAGAGGTGAAACTCTACCCTCTGTAGGTTGAAGCCTAAGCCTGTGCCTATGGCTTTGATGAAGCTCTCCTTCAGGGCCTGTGTGGCAAAAGAGGAAGCAGAGTCATGACTCCTGAATGGTTATAAAGACAGACTGAGTGTCTCCACCTCCTTTTACAGTATATTCAGTCAGTGGGAGCGCTAAGTGTTTGGCTTTACTTTTGGGGAGCGGTCATGCTGTCCTCTTATTAACACAGTCAGGGCTGGACTGACCATAGGGAGGACTAGGAAGTTTCCCAGTGGCCAGCCCCTTATTTTTTAGGAGTCCTACCTATGTGTGCCCATCCGTACACACAAGGCAAACTGTGACAAGTGCACACATGATGTGTAACCAAGGCCAGTAGGTGCAAACAGGTGGAGTGAGAAGATGGTGCAGTCCTGTCTCAGTTTGTGTGGTTTTGTTTGCACTGCAGAGAGCTCTTATTTTGAAGGAGCAAGAGCGTAACTGATGTGTCTGCACCTCATTAACAGAGTAACTGAGTACCCCAGGAAAACAGGTCCATGCAGGAAATGCTGCCAAGTGTTCAAAAATCAATCAAATGATTGAGGCAACACACAAACAGGTGAGTCGGTGATCAACCACAGGAAACCCCTTATTGTTGAACAATACAAATTGACTCAAAGCATTATGTAGGCTTAAAGTTCTACATAATGTTTCTTTCATGATGAAACCGGCCACTCTACAATAATTACAGCTAAAAGGTTTGGTTGTCCTGATCTGCTGAACAGCTGATTGTCCTAAACTAATCCTCTGATTAAGAGAAAGAATCAGGGATTTAGGGAAATATGTTAGCTGTATGGATGGTGGTATTTGTAGACCAGAGAGAAAAGAGAGAAGGAGGTGTTTACTTAGTCCAGATGAAAAAACATGCATATTACACTCAATGGATGTAATTTGGCCTGGGTTATATTTGACTACAGAAGCATGTTTTGTGAAAGGTGTCTTTTGATGAGTCAAATAATACTGTGCTTCTTCTCTCACAGAGTGATTGGTGACTTTAGACCGTGAGACTCAGGAAGAAATCAAGGAAGAAAGCAAGGAAGGAAGGACGGATGGATGGATTGATGCAGCAAAACTTGCATTAAGTTTCGAAACATGTATTGCACTAAGCTGTTGTTAGTGGCATTGGTCTGTTTCATGTGCACTAATATTCTGCAAGAGGGAAGAGAAGGAAGTCTGTCTCAAAAAGCCCGCACAACTCCTAATCCTGAGTGCTTGTCCCAGTATGAATCTGTATACAGTCTTTAATAATGACATGTTTAAAATCATCACAAACTGATAAAGGACATTTCTATGTCTGGCAAAGCTAAGGGCAGTGTGTGTTATAGTGTGTGTGTATTTTGGCTCAGCAGCAAAATAAGTTAAAACCCCAACAGATCGGAAACTGTGCACCCATGTATTCACTTAAATGTGTGTATGGGAGAGATACTATGCATGTGTGTGTGTGTTTAGTCAAAACCTTCCTCAGCAGCCAATGAGCCACAACGACAGTGTTACAGGGCTAATCGCCATGGCAACCGCTGAACTCTACCATTAGTCAACAGTGTTGTGATGATATCAGAGCTTGACGTCCCTGTGCCACCTTCTCAGTTTCACATCTTTACTTGGCACCACCATTTCTGTTGCTGCCCATCTGTGTGTATGTGTGTGTCTGTGAGTGTGTGTGTGTGTGTATGTATTTGTGTGCATTGGCAAGGGAGAAAATCTATGAGACAAAAAGGACAAGAGCTGAGAACGAAAAATAAAGACCTATTATGTATCTGTGAGGGATAACACTGAGACAGAAGGACAGAATGTGATAAAAATGAAAAAAGAAAAACTGAGGAGAAAAGTCCACAGTTAACACAAGTGTGTGCAAAATGTAACAGTCGTGTGTGTGTGTGTGTGTCTCAAAGGATATCAGTACTGTTTTTTTCTTCCTACATTCCCCTCACACACATGCGCAAAAAAACAGGGGAAAAACACACTGCTTGTGGGGCCAAGCAATGCAATGTGACGGCAGGGTAGTATGGTTGCCATGGTTACCCAGTGGCGGTAGAACGCAGCGAGCTGCTGTTGCTCCGAGCCAGCTGATTGGATGACGCTCCACTCGTACGCTGTAAACTGACGAGTCATGATGCGGAAAAACTCTGGCACTGAGCTGCTACCTGGAGGGGAAAGATAGACAGAAAGGGAGGGAGGGAAGGAGGGTGGGAGAAGAGAGGAGAGGAGAGGTGTGAGGGCAAAAAGAACGAAGGGGGGTGATACAGGCAGTGTTGAAAGACAAGGATGGAAGGAAAGGACATGAGGAAGGGGAAGAGGAAGCATAGTGAGGTGAGAGGAAGATGGTGGCAGATGTCAGGGTGTCATAGTTACAGCAGAGAATATCTGAATGTACTCAGTTTGTAAAGATCAGTGTCGACTGTTTCTTTCCTCAAACACATCATATTAACACCAAAGATTTAATTTAAACATACACTCACACTTGTACACACTCACCTCCTCAACAGTGCAGCCTTTGCCTTGACTTTTTACATTAATAGTGCAACAGTGAACCCTTGAGGCCAACTTTGAGATTACATACACACAATGACTTCTATATGCTGCAGTGAGTAAACAGAGTTATAGGAGGTTAAATGGTCCTTAAATCTAAAAATATGTTCTGCTCTAAACCAAACAATAGCTGGGCATGCCTGAGTTTATGTGCCTCGACTATTGACAGGTCTCACAGGACATCTAGAAAAACTGACTGAATAATATAGTCAGAGAAGTCTGGTTTGCTGTGATTTCATTTTATCCCCATTGTTAATAAATATCGATCTGTTACAACATCAGTGATGTGTATCCAATGCCGACTTAAAGGGATATTCAGGCATAAAATTAATTTAGGGTCTTGAGGAGGCCGCTGGAGGAGAGTGGGTGAGTTGTGTTTAGTCTGTTTGCCAAAGAAATCAGGCAAAGTTAAAAAAGATGTTTGGTGGCTAGTACTATGGTTGGAACCCTCTATGTACTGTTGATGAAGGTAGGTGCTGTTCTGAGCATTATTTGTGACTATAGAGTAGCGTGTTGAGGTTTGTTTATGGCTCCTCAGACCACTGTGTATTGCAATGGTGCGGTCGTTACTAAAGTTGGTATAACTAGAGAAGCAAGCAGTCTGCAACATTCATCTCTCGAGGGAGTGTCTAACTCGGATCGTTACGGTGTGTTTGACCCTAAATTAATTTTACGCCAGAATGTCCCTTTAAGGTGTTGCTACACCTCTGGGTTTACCTGGCATTACAGTCTTCATGATATCCACCCCCACCTGCATCCCCTGCTCTGCTGCGAGTACTGCATAGTCCCCTTGATGTGACACGTTGAAACTCCAGGAGTGGGGCTCGGGGGCAGAACCAGAACCAACCTGGACACAGAATCAGGATAACAATCATGCAGAATAGAATTTTTTTATTATCTGGAAATACTTCAGTCATGACATGAACCTTCAGTGGGGCTGCTAGGTAAGGTTTTCCTCTGGGGGATCTCTCGAGCCTGATCTCTGACCAAGGGATCCCCATCCTCTCACACACAAATCTCCTCAGCAGCAACCTGCCAGCCTGATGGGGGAAACACAAAAACAGTAAGTGAAACAGTGCAGTAGGGGAGAGTGGGGTAAGATGAGCCATTTATCATATTTCGGATCACTACATCAAGGCAATCATACTTTTGTCTCTAACTAGTGTCTCTGCATATATTTCAAGATGTTGTTTATCCTTGCAAACCAACAGAATGAGTGTAAACATAACTGTCTTGATAACATAGCACGACAAAAAAAAGTGGTCTCCTATGGTCAACTTACCCCATACAAGGGGTAAGTTGAGCGGTATCCCTACTACCAAAGAAAAAGAGCACATACTGTTTACTGCTGTTTATATTGTTATCTTTATTTTGCAAATTGAGAGTTTTTAAGGTAGTCTTTTGTCTTAGTTGTTTATTCTTATGTTTATACTTTTATTCTTATATTCTTATAGTTTCCCAAAGGTAGCTCTTTCCTCACGTAATGTCTCAGTGTCAGGCCATGTCTCTTTAACAATATATCTTAAATTCTCACACTGCGTATGCTTGTGTGTGCGCATGTGTGGGTGAGTGAGTGTGTGTGGGTCCATGGGTGGGTGGGAGGGTCGGGTTTTATTGTTGTTAATTGTTGTTTTTGAATTGCATTTCTTGCCTGAAAAGTGCCATTGAAATAAGAAATAAAAAAGAAAAAGTTGAATTTGACAATAAATTTGACTTTGACTTGAAATTTTTGACTTACATGATGCCCATCTCCTAAGTATTTGGTCACATGATCAATTTCTCATTTCATTTCCAAGCAACAGGGAGTGGCTCAACTTACCCCACTCTCCCCTACACCACTAGAGATCTTGATGAGGACACACAAAGTGATCATGAAGGTAAAAGAGCAAAAGTTGTCATTCAAACCTCACCATTGCTGATTTAGCATCCTTAGCAAACACAAACTGCCCGATCCTTTCTTTCTCCTCCCGCTGAACACAGCGAGCAGCAAACAGCCACTCAGACTTGCTCGGTGTCCATGATCCACAGCGAAAAGCCCAGCGAACAGAGCCCATGTCTTCGCCTCCTCACCCGGACCCTCCACAGCACCCGTCTGCTAACGAGCTAACGTTAGCTTTACGCGTCCGCATGTGGAGTTACAGTTCTTACGACTAAAAACTACAAAAGGGGGTTTCACATGTCTGATATAAGGTTTCCAACTGCTCATTATCAGTTAACAGCGACGATGAAAGTCACACGGCCACTCCAAACTTCTCGTTGTTTACGTTTTTAGGGTTTGTAGCGGTGCACATGCCCGGAAGAGCCCGGCGAGATACAGCGTCGTCATGAGTGGGCGCGGTGGGGGATTGACCAATGGGAGCCAAGAAAACTGTGCGCAGCTAACGGTGCCTTCAAGTGCTCGAGGGAGTATTGTAAATAAGGCAAAACTGCGCTAAAGTGAACAGATTTACGCCTATTTTAGAGAACTTCTTGTGAAACTTGCTTATATATTTGACCGAAGCCTTAACTGCATAGGTCATGTCTGTCTAACTTTACACCAACGTTGCTAAGACGGACTGTATCCCGACCAATGAATCTTCTCTTGTATTTCTGCATCGATATCTAAGAAAATTCAACTGTGCAATGTGAAACTACCAAGTCTTGTTTATCCATCAAAAAGTCTATTATTACATCGACTGGTCAACTCGTTTTTAGTTCCTTTCGTGCTGTATTTCACGCTCGAGCGCTCAGAATTCACTATTTCCGAGCCACCAGTGAACGCAGCATGCAAATTGTACCTCCAGGATGTTGTTTTGATTGCAGAACATCTGTGTGAGGAAGGTGAGATGTCTTCATAATATATTGCAGATAATGTTAACATTCCGATAGGGGTAAGAAAACGCCTTACCCTTCAGACTGCATTATTTTTTCCGATAGTGATGAGGAAATTGGGTTGTGCTCGTCAGGTTGGAGACAATCTCGTACCGTACTACTGCTCGAAAAAAAACGTATTTTGCACTAGAAAAAAATGACAGATGCATGCGGGGTGACCTAGAAGTACAGGTATATATACGAGTAGGTTTTATGCGGGTTATCACCAGAACGTGTGTGTCATTGTAGCCTCCATACGTGCAGTAACCTTGGTGTATCCCACACTTTGACCATAATTTGACCATTTTAACATAGTAGCCTATCGATGGTGTGTTGGCCTGAAGTCTGCGTCGTGTTGCCAAACTGGAGAGGGTCACCTCCCCCTTCAGTGGTTAATGTGCTACTCAACAAACTTAAACAGCACAAGTATTGCAACATAGTGACTATAACTACTACATCAGAAAACTAGCAAACCGTGATTTGAGTGTTCCAGTCAAGGAAAAAAAAATCCTGTCTTAATCATTTTAAAATTTATGAAAAATTACACGCCAGCATTTTCATTGAGCAGAACAAACTAAAGATGCTTAAAGCTTCAGCAAGGAATTTGTGTTAATTTTGGCACCTCTTGTGGATACAGCAGGTACCTTCTAATAATGTCAGTATTTTTTTACTAATTTCTTTATTTTCCCTTTTTTAATTTTTAACTAATTGTGTCTCCTACTTGTTATTTTGCAATTGAAAAATGCTTCCTTTTGTCTTTTAATGGTCAAATGTACCTCTGAGGAATTTTGCTGTGGAAACTGTAAGATATATAACAAAATGTTATGTTACAATATGATAGATACAGCACAATAGGTTACAATACAATATGATATGATAAAATGCATGATATAATACCTGTTATGACTTGATATTATACCATAGGATACTAAATATGATAGGTTACAATATGGTACAATACCATACCAGCAAATGTTATTATAAGACACCACGAGACTGAACTTGACATAGTGGGATATGGTGAAATACAACATGTTACAACACAACAATACAACACAATGTGATTTGATACCATATTATGTATCAAATCCATATAATGTATGGATTTGATATCTGGGAAGTGCTGCAAATACTAAACTGCCCAAACAATTAAACCGATAAGTTTCAACACTAAAAACCAACAACAACAACAAAAAAAAAAAAAAAACACATGTGAACAGAGAAACACACATGAAAGGAAACCATAAATCACAAAGTCTATTGCACATTATCATTATCCTGACAAACTGCACAAATAAGAGAAAAAGATAATAAGAGCATGTGGAAAAGCCAGTTTTGGCAATGTGTAGTTACTGACCTGACTGACTCTTGATTCAAGACGGCCGTTTCAGACATTAAAAGAAAAAAGGTAGAAATGAAGTAGAGTGAACAGTGTTTATTTTAATGTGTTTCAAAAGCAGTGAAAAGTTTCTCATGTCTTTATGTTGCATCAGGGAGAAACTTGAGACAGACTTACTGCACTTCATGTACTTCTGATACTTGATTTTTGGTTCATTTACTCAATAATTTTGTTTCTCTTGAATGTAGCTCTACATTTTCATCTAAAGTTGATGTTGAATCTTAGCTGGGTGTTAAGTTGTGGTCTGAAATCAAACTGTCAGCAATCAGTTCGATAAGACCTGCTGATGAATGAACAAGTTACTGTGCATGTTTTTTGTCGACTTTAAGGAGTCAAGATACACATGATGATTTTTGATTACTAGTATTCAACCCAAATTTATCTAGGTCGGTGAAAACAGCCGTTTAACCTGCCAGTTAGAAGTAATTGACCAAAGTTGCATAACTTAAGATTCAAGTACAAAGTGGTAAACATGCTTCTTTAGCTCTGTTGCTGTAGCCTAGCATGCTGCATTTTTCTGGAGGTGTCAGTTTAGTAAGGCTTGATTTAATGTGAAATAACTTGTAGGTTAGCTTAGTACATTTTATAAGAGGCTTGCCCCAAACTGCTCCTTGATAACTGTTTTATTTTTTTAACTGCAGGGAGAATGCAGCACCTCCTCAGGCTGTGATGGTCCTCTACCTGTGCAGGCCCAACTGGCATAGATGGAAAACTCAACAAGTCTGGTCTTTCTAATCCCTTGTGGCCTTTTCTTCATCAAATCAGAGCCTCGGTTAAAAAAGCTCCCTCTTCATCTGGGAGTTTGAAAAAAAAAAAAAAAAGCTCTGGATGATAAACTCCTCCAGCAAACCTGCTGTGACCTCTGTCACTACACTCTTGTTTTCACCTCAAATCTGCAGAACTTTGAGTCTCACATGCTGCTGCTGCTGCACAGAGCCAGTCTCCAGTCTAACAGCTGTGATCCGTCTCCCAGGTGGAAAACTTCAGAGGCAGTGTCGGAGCCACTGAGGGAGTCCTCGTTGATGAAACTGTTGCACTTTTGAGAGACAAGCTGTGCTGTGAGATATGGCCTAACCTTTACAACAAACATCCACACCTCTCTTCATCCGGACAGAGGACACAGCCCCCTCCTTCACTCTGACCTGTGATCTAGCTCTCTTTGTACCTTCCTTTTTTTATACTTCTCCTCCCATACCTTTTCCTCCGTCTCCACTTCGGCCTAGTTTTTTTCCCTGCTGTCTCCACTTGTCTCTGTTTCTTGGGTTTCCGACCCTCCTTCCTGTCAAGCTGGATTTCCTGCAGATGAAGCATCTGAAGAGGAAGAGGAAGAGCAACTACAGCGTGAGAGAAACACAGACTCTCATCAGGGAGATCCACAAGAGGAGAGACGTGTTGTTCTCAAGGCAGCAGGTTTAGATTTTGTCTTCTTCCTACAGATTGATCACATTATGCTGACAACAAATGACATTTAGGCTGCTCTGTATGTGCAGTTTATGCAGTGCCACTGAAGCATTTGTTGACAAAGTCTTAATTTTCTTTGATCTCTGTTCTGAATTGGACAGATTACAAACAGAAAGGATAGCAGCACAATCCAAATTTTTCAGTTCAATTCGAATCCATTCACTCCAAGCTTTATCCAATATAGTCTTGTGGAATATTTTTAAAGATCTATTGTTAAACATATATCATAAGTATGTGTTCCCACTCATTATTGAAAAAAAAATAGCCCATATAATTGTTTTTCAAGTATAAAATCTATGCAGTATGTCACAGATTGATGCCATGGGGGGAGGAACTTACACTCTCATCCAAACAGTTTAGTTCACTAGGAAAGCAAGGTACAGTAACAATGTGAACCTGGATCTTTCAGCGCAAATAGCCTGTAAAGAATAAAAACATCTGTTCAATATGTTTGAATTACTCAAGAGCAGTACCTCCATCGCCTTGGTGGCCCACTAGAGGGCACTGACACAGTTCCATTTTAGCTGCAAGTCCTTAAACTCAGTTTAGTGCTCATCTCAGTCAGAACCCATCAACACAGAACACAAACTCAGAGGTATTTTCATGCATCCTTGTCAAACCAGACTGATTTTAATATGTATTTATAGAAAAAATAGCTGTGAGCATTTTTTTCAATCTTATGTTGTGTATTACATGTATATGCTGGCATTCGCTTCTGCGACTGTCCTGAGAGGATGAGTTTGGTTTACAGATATGTTGGCTTTGTGGTTCATGGAAATCTGACATGTAAAATCTTTTTTTCTCCTCTTGTGTTTGCGTGTGTGTAGAACACAGCCATCAATGAGCTGAAGAGACAGGCATGGGAGGAAGTGGCGCAAAGTGTCAATTCACTGGGGGAGGGAGAGCTACGCACTGCTGCTGAAGTATGTTTATGCATATGCTACAGTATTACAAGGTCACAAATTTTGTTTAGCTGATACTTTTGCTACATATATCTGGGAGTTAGAATGATACTGGGAAGAATCTAGATGGGAGGGGACAATGTGAGTGAAAACATCTTCAAGTCCAAGTAGATGTAGATACAAAGTTTTCCATCAGCAGTAAATGACCAATAAATGTTAAAATCATGCTTTGATTCTTTTGAAACACATCAATTCATCACTTCCTTCTATTGTCTAAAAATGTGTCTTTCACCCTCTGACCTCCTGCAAAGGTGAAGCGTCGTTACCTGGACTGGCGTGCACTGATGAAGAGAAAACAGCTCCAGGCTGAGCTCTCTCTCTCCTCCTCCTCCTCCTCATCAGTAGCCCTGAAGACTGAGTTCGATCAGTCCTCTCCTGAGCACGAGGCAGCTTCTCTGGGATCTGGCTGTGACCAGCTGCTTGACCTCTCGGGCCTCCCCAAGGATTGTCACTGTGACTGGCCGGAGCTGGAGGCGCTCGGTGAGCCAAGCGGACAGACCATGATGGCACCGCTGAGTGTAAAGATGGAGGACGACGTCAGCGAGTACAGAGTAAGAAATAACTGATAATGGTGCTACAGTAATCAAGTGTGAAGGACCCTTATGTAGAATTTAATTAAAATATTCTGCATCTAAACACAGACACAATAATTTTGTCAAACCTATGCATGTGTTTGGTACAGAGCTGAAATTATTTCGATTCTCAGCCCATACTGACACAACAGTATTTGCTAATGTGTCTAATAGCTTCATCAATGTCCTCATCAGCAGAGGCAGTAATATTAAACATATCAGTGATTATGCCAGCTCATTATGTAGCTCAAGTGGCCCTTGTTAGCCTTGTCTTTTGATTGGACTCATGTAGGCCCACTAGGAAGAAATCAAACTTGGTTAACACAAGTGTGAGTTAATAGGGATTTAATTTAAACTTGACATTTAATGTTAGTTTTGTTGACTGCAGAAGGACTGTTTTATTAACTCTTCAAAGAGTGAGTCAATCTCCTAAATGATAGATATTTCTGTCAGGCCTGAGCTTGACATGCTGTTGAAAATAAATGGCGATGAGCCATGGTAGCTATTTGTGTTTATTTGCAGGCTGTGCATGTACTTCAAAGCATGACAGATGGTTGGCTGCCAGCTCGCAGCACAGACAATGACATTGTTCTCATGCATATGACTTTGCATTTTGATTTTATCTGAAACTTTGTTTTTTAACCTTTTGTCTAGCACACAAAATACTTGAAATCATATACAATATAAGATATGGAGAGATGTCACAGCTATTTTAGTATACTTTTATTTAGTGTTTTAATCTTCTGTTTCACTGGCTACAATGGTACTGATGGTTTCGAAATGTCAAGAGTGTTTGGTATAATTAGGGTTGCCTAACAGAGTCTACAAGACCCCTATAGCCAGAATTAACACAGCTCAAAACTGGATTTCTGCATAAATATTTAGGTATTGAATATGATGTAGATCAGCCTAAGTTCGAGTTCGAGCCTGAACTTTAGGAAACATTTGCTTTTTTCCCTACATGTTGATTATTTTTACCTCATGTGATAATTTAACTGAATTTTAGGTACAAAAACAGGTGAAATACTCCTTTAATGTTCTCACTCTGTCCCTCTAGCTGAACGGTGATGGTGATGTGGGGAATGAGGAGATAGATGAAGAGGATATCCCCTCCCTGCTCAATGACATCGAGTCACGTGCCGAGGGTCATGTTGAGGATATTTACTCCCACAGTGACTTAGGTATACTCAGCCCCTCCAAGACCCCGACCTCCACCTTCAACAGAGACCTGCCTCTTTCTGGGGGTCTGACAGGGATTCCAACTCAAGCTATAGGTGGAGTAATCAATCATGAAAACATGGGGGCAGGGTTTTTGGTTGCTGTTGAGAAACAGCGATTGGAGCTGGAGAAACAACGGCTGGCTGTGGAAACCGAACGCCTGGCGGTGGAGAAAGAGCGGCTGACGGTGGAGAAGGAGCGCCTTCGACAGATGGAGGTGGAGAGGGAACGGCTGCAGCTGGAGAGAGAGAGGCTACAGGTGGAGAGGGAAAGGCTGAGGCTACTGCTCCTAAGCCAATCAGAACATGCTGACTCCTCCTTCAATTTGCAGCCACAGCAAAGCCCACCCTCATCCTCCACACCTGCCTTATCCTCCACCCACCATGATGGACAGAGAGAGAGAGGAAAGGAGAGTAAAGCCTGGGCATCAGCGGTGGATCTGGAGACAGAAAGGCTGAAACTAGAGAAGGAGAGATTGCAGCTGGAGAAAGAGAGGCTGCAGTTTTTTAAATTTGAGGCTGGCAGGCTGCAGATAGAGAGAGAACGCCTCCATGTGGAGAAAGAGAGAATGCAGCTGCATAAAGATCACCAGGGACACTGAAACAAAAGCTTATACAAGAGAAGAGAGATTTTAACAGCTTCCCGAAAACAAATGCAAAAGAAGATGATAACAGGTGAGGCCTTTGTGTGGATTTGTATAAGCAGCTGCTTTCTGAAGTCCCCCACCCATTGGAATTTGGCCAAGAAGAAGACAGACACAGAGGGCTGACATATTTACGACCATCACGATACAGCAGTGCCTTATGATGTCTTCATAAAATGGGTGGCGGGACTGAAAATATGCTATGATAATAAAAATCGTGAAATTTGTTGACACGTGCAGCCGGCTAAGGCTGAGCGTGTTTGATTTGTACAATGCAATAAGTTTTAACAGCTGTTCAGTGCCTCATCCGAATATGGTAATGCTCATAACGTGCAGAACAAGATCAGCTGTAGCGTCAATGCAACACAATTCAGTGTAGAAATGTCTTATAGAGGTATATATCAAAAGAAATGGAATGGTGATGTCTTACTCTGCATTTGTGAAGATCAGTGCAACTTAATATTCTGCATGGGTGCTCACCTTTGAACCCAAGTGTCAACATACATGAAAGCAAAAATCAAACAACTGTCATTTGTAAAGACAGTTTTTTTTCTTATGACACTTGTGCTGTTAAACTTTTGCATTTTTTTTTACATGTTGATGGTTGTAATTTTATATAAGAGTTTTAACCCAGTATTTCATATTTGCTATATTTTGGCAAAGTTACAATAACCAGTGGCTCAGTTGTGTTCAAATGTCTCTGTAAGTCGTGATTGTGGAACAGTCGGTCATTTTGACGAAGTAACTAAAGCAGCTGAATGCAATTCAGCCATCGTTTTATTTCTAACAGCTTGTGGTGCTCCTTTTGCAACACACCAAAATGTCTTCTGTGGAATAAGCCTGAGATGAGACTTTTTTTTTTTTTTTTCACCATGAATTATAACCTGAAAATCTTTGATGGGCAGCTATACTGGACGTTTGCTTTGCATGTGAGAAAATACAAGTGTTTTTAGTTCTGATGTACAGTGATGGTGCAAATTTATATCAGCCAACAAAATGAACCCACAAAAATAGTACTGTAATGTTGTAAAAAAAAGTTATTTTTTCCCCCACATGTGTTATGTTGAATGTTTTATTTTTCAATCATCATGATTTAAGATTACTGTACCCAACCAACATCCTTTAATTATCTTTTTTTTCAATGCATGTGCACTTACGTTTAATTTGTATGGTTTCTTAAGTGGTTCTCTAATTCTTGTTAATATGTCTGTAAATAAAATTTCCAGAGAGGAAAAGGGATATAAATTCAAGAAAAAATGTTGTCACCAGAGTTGAATAAACTCAATCCCCAAAGTGCTGCTTTTGATGACCGGCCTCTGGTCTTTCTCATGCTTTTATGTTCTCAGCTGCCTTTGAAGGGTGATACTGAAAGAGAATAAGATGATTACATTTTTTGTGTCCTCTGTATTGGTGCTCCTCAGGAAACCCATCAGGGGTCCCGAGGATCAATGTAGGCTAATAAGAAGAGACGAGCGTTTCAAATCACTTGGAGAGCATAGCCCTAAATCTCTAAAGAGTCAACTTTTGAGGATTTCACTAAAGCTGATGTAACCTATTGACACTCATTTCTCTTTTTGATTTTGTAATTGAATTTTTGAAGTCACAGGGAAGCATGAAACTTTTTTTTCCCCATGCACAACTGGAACTCTAAAAATATAAAACAGTGGCTGGTTTGAGAAGACATAAATCAAAAGTGTAATGTCTTTGAATTATTATCAGATGAGCTCCTATAGATCCTCACAAATATACTGCACACATGCACATATGATAATTGCACACACAGTGATACTCATCAGGAAAGGAGGATTAAACTGTAAAGGCTGCTTTAGTTTTCTGTTTAAAGGCTTTCCTGCCTTTGTGATGAAAGCTGTGGATGAAATATAGTTCAATATAGTTCTGGTGTGAAAATCCACTCCAGGATCATTATGAGAAAAGGCTTTAAACAGTAGGAAGCAGCTGCGTGGACTCCATAAGAGAAGATAGCTCAAGCCAAAATATACCAATGTTTGCTCTTTCTTTATATCCAATTTGGTCTAATCTGTGTAAATAATGTTTTCAGATTCAAATTTAACCAGGCTGTCCAATTTTACAGTCCAGAGCTCAGCAGGTTAAAACAAAGAGCAACATCCATGACTTTTCCTGAAAAAATTTATGTGATGCCCCTTAAGTTTCTATGGCCGACTCTACCACCATTGACAAAGATTGAAACTCAGATCTCACTCTTGGTACAGGTAAAAGGCCAGGCCATGGATCTAGGGGTCTGATACTTATAAAACATGTTTGACATTCAGTTTTACTTCAGTGCTCTGAGATTTAAGAAGATGGCGGCTAAACCTTGGAGACGATCTCGGGTCTTTGTGAACGGACTTGCTGCTGAAATTGGAACATATTTCAGTTCTTCCAGGGTTTTCTTTGACACTTTAAACAGAAGAGAAATAAATTGAACAAGCTTGGCGCTCTGGATATTAAATCAAGCACTTTCTGTATCACTTTGGCAACAAGCCTTCAGTGTAAAATTTGCATGGTTGTCCTATGTTCTTCTTCAGACAATTAGATATATTACTGTATCATCTGCATATGGTTAAAGGGGTGGCATTTTGGTTTTCTACATTTACATCAAAAAATTCAAAGTTAAAATGTTTGGTGTCCATACTAGATGTACGCAAAGCTTCAAATAAAGTAAACATATTTTGTCACAATCCTAGAAAATTTATGTAAACTGCTCAAAATGGGACCTTGCGAAAAAAAGGTGAGACTCATTAAAGTAACGACGTCATTAGGCTCTCATTACTAGTGCATCTATGCTTCCCACAGCAGAGTAGGGTAATGTTGCTCTGCTGCACAATCAGGAGAAAGCAGAGGGTGGGCCTTAAAGAGACAGCAGCTAAAAGGAAGCGTTTTAGATTAGAGCTTTAATAATGGCGTTTTAAAACACAAGAGTGAGAAACACAAGGCTTTTTTGATCTAAAAAAATCATGTAAAGCTATTAAATAACTATCAGAAAGGAAGTACAGAGTCTGAAAAGACTGAATAATACTCCCTTTTAAAATGCTCTGCAGTCAGCTCGAAACAGGAGAACAGTGTGTTTCCCTTTCTGACATTGAATTATAAGATGCTGTTAGTCAGTTTAAAAGAGCGCTTGAAACATTTGTGCTTTGAGGAAGTGATCTTGAAGTACATGTCGAATAAAAGAGCTGGATTTCCTCTTTATTTGGTTTCAACCAGAATTTCTTTTTACATGAAACAAAATGACCTGTGCTCCTATAAAATTCAGTCAGAGGTCATAGTGACTCAGTTTTTCTTTAATCCTAATATCACCAAACAAGGTAACAAATATTGAATTTATTGCACTCCTTACCCTTCAATGTGCAATACAGCCACTTTGAAATTTAACCCCTTTGGCATATTCAGACTTTTTTGGTGCACATGGAGTCCTCACTATCTGCCAGTTTCCTTCCCTATCCTCTCCCTGTTACAATATCTTTTGGCAATTAAAACAGCACCTTTAAGAAATTACCCCGGGGCTGCTAAAGTGTGCATGCAAATCTTTAGAGAGTTGGATAAACAAAGAAAATCTCAGCAGAGAAAAAGACAAATGAACCAAAGCATGGCTTGAAACAGGTCTGTAGAAATGTCGCACATAATTTACACATGCCAACAACAAATTAGAGAAGCGCATCACATTATTTTCCACCAAAAGCATGAATCCTTTGTCGAGAGGTCTGAAACAAATCCTTTGGTTTTTAATCAACCTGTAATCAGTTACCCTTGACTGGCTCTTGAATATCGTCTGTAATATTTTGTCACACTTTTGTGATGGCATAAAAATGAGCAAAAATCTAATATATTGCTCCTTTGTTTGGAAAATAATGTTTGTATCATTATACTCATGTAGAACCCCAGCCATGCACTTGTTTGCTTTTTTCCCACCTTCATGTATATTGCCTAGTTGATTTAAAGGATGCTCTATGTATCTATCTAGACACAGAATCTCAGATGTCTTGGGGGGGGAAAAGGGAGCACAACACCAACTCCACCACGAGCAACAAGATAGATGTCCCCAAGAGACAGATGCAAAAGTAGAGAAGTGGAGAAATGAGGTATGGCAGGATGGAGGAGGAATAAAGGGAATGAGCAGAGGAATACAGAACAGAGGAGAAATGAGGAGATACTGAGGAAGAAGAGATGAAATGAGCCGGAGAAAATAAAACAGGTGAAAAGGGTACTATCCCTCTGCAGTGAAGATAAAAAAGCCTGATTGAAGGTATGTGTGTGTATGTGCGTGTGTGCAGCTGCATGTGAAGGTGCAAGGTTAAAAGGGATTGCAGAGGTGCCTCAAAATTGTTATTTGCTTCATCTTTGTGTAAATGGGAAATACTTGTCAGTAATAACCCAGCGCAGTACGTGAGTGAGTGTGTGTGTTTGTCTCGATGTGTGAGAGTTTGAGTGAGATGGGATAAAATGGGAAATACTTGTCAGTGATGGCTCTGTATTAGGAGTGTTAGGTCCCCACGGTCTGAAAAGAAGAAGCCCAAATGACAATATCTCAGCAAGATATTTAACCCCGTAACTGCTGGTTCGAAAACAGCTGAGTGTGAGGTATGTTGGTTCTCATAGCTACACAAAAACATTGACGTTAATTTAATATCTTTCCTATACTATGCTAACAGGCTAGCTCTAAAAATGGTAATGAGGGTGTATGTGGTAATGAGATTATAAGCACAAAAATCAGAGTCTCTGAATGATGAATCTGACTGTAGATCATCTGAATTTTCCTCAAGTTAAACCCTAAAGTAGCTATTTGTGGTTTTGGATGAAATACAAATGTTGATGCTTACCTGGCACAGATGAGAGAGCAGATCCTGGCCCATCCAGTATTTGTTTCAGGTCTTGGTTATGAAGATTTTTTCAGATTCCTTAAATTCTTTAATTCCATCTATTGTAGATCACAAAACCTACAAATTTTTCGCTGTTTTTTTTTCACCGGGGAACATTATTTTGAAATTGTTTCGCTCACAGTCTTTCATGAGAGACACAACATATCTGATGTTTTTTGATAGCCATAAAACAGACCAAAATTCCCATTGAAGCTTTTTTACAATCTACAGAGGCGAACGAGAGCAATACCGACAAGATTTTGCCTGCTTTTATACCTGCTGCGAAAAGGGGAAGGTGTTAGCCAAGCGACTTACGAAACAACAAAGTTCTTAAATCTTTTCACATAATACTCACAATACATGATAAACTTTACTTTCCAAAGTCAGCGACATGAGATTTTTTTTTTGTCATTAGATAGTTCATCATTTAAAGACCCAGATATGGAAAAACTGTTTTGTCCACAGGGGGCGCCATGTTTGATGCAAACCAAAAGTTTCTCACTGGAGCTTTAATCTGGGAGATGCGGAGATGCTCCTCCTCTACTTCTTTTGTTACATAATTTTTGAATTGTTTTTCTGTCACTGTCTCTGCTTTTCTGAAATGTTTTGCTGGCATCACATTTAAAATAAGTCTAGGAAATAATTATTTTAGTTTTCAACATGTGATATGATGTCTTTACACAATTTCAATTAAATACAAGGTTAGAATTTTTCACAAACTACCACATTTTGTTTGTATTAAAATGTTCACTTCACCCCAGTGTCTTTTTCTGGAGTTGTGATTTGATTGATTACTGCTAAATCACAACCACTGTCAGATATATGAAAAGATTAACTGTATAAATATGTTAACTCCATTGTTTTATCAATACAATTTAGCAAATTACATCAGTTTTAATATTTGGTTGGAGACAGGGATGCAGTCTGGTTTCAGTGCACAGCACAGGGACACAGTCAGTAGGTAAAAATCACACAGAGAGGACAGGTTCAGCATTGACGTTTTACTAGAAAAAGAAACCAAATGGAAAGACAGAAAGAATCAGTGTGTTAAAGCCAGAGTGTTGACATCCCAGCGGTCAGCTTTTCGCTGTGGATGCATGAAATCTAATGTTCTAGTGGTTGCAAAGAAATAAACACAACATTATCAAGTTTACTTTAACTGCCAGGTGTTTCTGGTGTGGTGATTGCAAGATCAATGTTGACCATCTCTGCATAAATGCTTTCAGTCTAGATACCCGCTGTTTTTACTTTTTCCTCTGGTGTTGGATGCTGCAGTGCTGCTGCACTGATCCCCTGGGCTGAGAGGGAGGAATCATCTATCTTATTCAATTCAGCCATAAAAGAAGTTGTTGTATAAGATACCAGTTGTTCTCATACATGATAATCTGTGTTGGCTTTTCATGGAGTTGAACACATTTGATGCAGGACTG